GTACCAAATACTGAAAGTACATTGTTCCTCATGAAATGAAAGCTAGTCCTAAGGTTTTTATAAAGCTATCCCATGGTCTTATTTACTTTTCAGAAAAGACCATTCCAGTCACATTGTGGTTTATAGCTGTTGTGGACAGAGTGCCAGGTGCTGACTCCACATGTGACTAGGAAGCATTTTCTTTTGGGTCTATTTACTCCTCTTTTTTCACATCTGTGAACTTTGCCCTACAAAGAACCACTTCCATTATTCTTCCCATTCTATCTACCTGGGATAGTACATATTTCTTAAAAGTATCCTTCTCCATTTCTAAGTAAAGTTTTATATGATTAACAACCACAGCTAATGAACACAATGAGAGAAGAGCAGCCACAGTAATCCCTCATGTGCCACATAGACAGTACAGACCCCTCACTGCTAGTTGGTGCATGTATCATCACCAGTCAGAGGTAAAAGTACACTTTTCATTAGGTTTCAAAAAGAAATTGAGTGGCTGAGCGGGACACACACTTGTAATCTCAGCATGCGGGAGGCTGAGGCAGGAGGATCTCTGTGAAGTCGAGGCCAGCCTCAGCTACAAAGCTAGTCTGAAGGTCTGGGGATTTAGCTCAGTGGAACAAGCACCTGCCTGGCAAATGTGAGGTCATCAGTTCGAGCCCTAGTTCCAAAAACAAAAGGAAGAAAAAAAGCTAGCTTAAACTATATGAGATCCTGTCTCAACACTAAGAAGAAAAGAAACTGATATACAGACCCCTGTCAATACCATCAAGGCCCTACAGAGCTCTTAGATCCCAGACCTCTCCCAAGGTCCCTTGAGAACTCACGACATGAGGCTTGCTTTCCTGGTTTTCCCCAGCCTTAGTCCTCGGGGATCCTGGTTTTCTGAATGTAAAATGAAGATGCTAAATTTGGAAATTTCATAGTCTGCTCAACTCTATGACTCTGCCTTGGTAAATCTAACTGCCTGCAGATATAGGGAAAAGAATGTAACTACAGATGCACTCCCAGGGAGCTCATGGATATCACACAGAAGCACTGTCTGTGTGCTATAGCCACTCCACCCCTCTAAGTCGAGTCCAGGGCTATCTATCCAGTTCTGTTACAGGAGCCACTGAACAGAAATATGCTAAGCCCTTGAGACAGACCCTTACTTTCAAAGGTGTTATTTTTATTAAGCTAGGCCCCAGAGAGCCAACTGCTTCTTGATTTTGGTCTCAGAATGACTACTTCACTCAATAGGGAGGAGTAGGAGTGAAGAGGCTGAAAGACTAGTTAGCTTTGTAGAACCTAAGGAAAGATGTTACAGACATTTAATCTAAACATCTCATACACATGAGAAAAATGACACCAGCCGGGGATATAGCTCAATGGTAGAGCGTGTGTGGATTTGATATCCAGCATCATCATTCCCAAATAGAAAAAAAAAAGTTGATCACAAGTCCAAGTTCAGCCTATGAAATACAGTGAAACTATCTCAAAATAAAGGTCTGGGGATATAGCTTCATGTGAAAGTTCTAGGTGTAACTTCCTGTATAGAGAGCAGAAAAAAGTAAAGGATGTGAGACTTAGCCTCCCAAGGTTCTTTCCACCTGAACCAGTGCTGTTTCTCAGTTCTTCCACCAAATGCATGAAAGCTTTCTTTTCAAAAGTACCACTCATTCAAACAGATTACTTTTTCACTCATTAGATCAGGTATAGGTTTCTTCAAACCACCTTCCCATTATCACATACTGAAACTCCCCCTTTTATAAACTCCTTTTATGGCCTACGTTTAAGTAGGTGCCTACTGGCTAATGACCACTCTGATCTGTGGCAGACAGATTGGCACTGGTTCCAGTCCCCAGGACAGTCATCTTGGAATAGTAACATTTAAGTGATAATGTGAAAATGTTATTCCATCCTGCCGTTTTTGTGTGTTATAAAACTTTTACAAAAAATAGCGGCAAAGCTGGGCGTGGTGGCTCACGCCTGTAATCCCAGCACTTGGGAGGCTGAGGCAGGATGTTTAGAGCTCCAGACCAGTCTTCGTTGCGAGTTCAAGACCAGGCTGGGCTACAAAGTGGGCTCACGGTGGGCCTGAACTGCATAACAAGACCCTGTCTCAAAAAGACAAGAAAAAAAAAAAAAAATAGCAGCAAAGTTTTGATACTACTGATGTTTCAGAATTGACACAGGTAAGACAGGACTCATGGGTGTCCTGAAAACTTCAGTGACCACTACAAGTTTCATTCAGCATGCTCTGCTCAATTGTCCAAATCAAACAAAAAACCTGAATAAATGTTGCAATATGATGTTCAAAACTGATGCACAGAGAGGTGATCCTTAGCATTCTGCAACTCAAACTGTCCCGGGTTGGCACTTACCTCCACACATGAGGAACTCTATTGCTTGGCATTTGCACATCCGGATTTTATATCCATAGTTGTTTAAACAAAGAAGTATAAACAATTTGAGTACTGCTGTGAGACCTAAAAACGCTAGTTTAAAATAATCTCCAAAAACTTAAATACTCACTAAAAACCTACACAGACAGGCCTACTGTAGGGTTTTCCTAAGGTCAACTGTCAGTTTATTCAACAAAACACTTCCACTTCTAGACAAAGATTAAAGATTTTTAGAATCTTCTCCTGTAATAATTTAGAATCAGTTCATCAATATCCAAGGTGTCAATTTTCCGAACTGCTGACAGCTCCAACCACTGGGAACCACCTTGCACCCCAAAGCAAACATCCTTCTCTCAACCTATTACTTCAAATAAACAAAAGATCAAAACGTCTCCCCCGTCCACCTCAGAGGCAAAAAATACAAACTGGATGAGCCAGCTCTAAGCCTCAAGTTTGTAACTGGAGGTTCAGGACCTCATAGAGAGGAACTGGAGGTGCACGTGAGATTTGCAACACCCAAAAAGTTTCAAGAGCTGTAAGGCACCCCGCCCCACCCCCTAAAAGCCACAGAGGATAATCTGACATCCTGTTTTGTTTGGGTCTGATTGGAGTTGTACCAGTTCACAATGGGACAAGTGACATCCTAAACCCGGGCAATACGGTGTGTCCAGGATTCTCCAGTAACCGGGTAAATAAACAGAGGCTCTGGCCACACCCGCCAGGCCACGCCCAACCGGGCACGCCCCGCAGGCCCAACCACGCGCCCGCCGCCGCCGCCGCGATGAATGGAGTCGCGCGCTCCCGTTCCAGGCGTACAGGCCCGCCCCGGGGCTCCCGCGGGCCGCAGCCTGGGAGGGTGAGAACGCGCCGGGGGCTACCTCGGAGCCGATCATGTAGAATTCACCGTCGTCCTCCAGCTGGAACTTGACGGGCTTCTGCCCGAAGGTCTTGCTTAATGCCATCATCATCATTGCGGCAGTAGGGTTAGGGGGCGGCCAAGGCCCGGCTGTGAGGGCTCAGGAAGGTTGGGGCAGGGCTGGAGGGCACTGGGCTGAGGAGAACCGAAGCCAGAAGGCAAAGGCCAGGCCGGGATGACGCTCGCGCCACCACCGGGATCTTCAGCTGCCACCGCGACGACCAGGCCTCCCTTAGTGCGCATGCGCGGGCGTTGACGCTAACGCGCGCGCGGCCGCCGTCTAAACAAAAGGCCAGGCGCGTACTGGCTGACACCTTAAAGGAGCCGGGACTAATTTCTCTTCCCCTGCCGACCGCAGCCTAAGACTAGTGAGCGGAAAACTCACGGATGAAATAGCCACTGGGACTCTCCCTGACTCAAGCGGTGGCTTTTGTAGTCTCACTGCTGGGACTGGCTCTTAGCCCAGGGGCGAAAAAAGGAAACAAAGCCTGAAGGCCAGGAGGAAAGATTTATCTGAAAGGTTAAGTGGCCTGAGCATGTTTTGTGACCTCAGGCTGGCGCCTCAATTTCCCCACCTGGAAAACGCAGTGCGGCCAACCAGGTAAAAGGTCTCTTAGGAACGAATTTCCCAGTTCCCATCCCACAGCCGTTTCTGCGGCTGTGAGGATGGGCAGAATGGCAACACTGTGTTGGAGTTGGCTTGGGCAAAGGTTCCAGGGTTTGGCAATATTCGAAGACCCAGGTGGTATTTGTTTTGGCTGGTGTATCACATGAGCGTTGAAGGATCTTCTCCATTCTTTCCTTAGCGCTTTGCTTTGTGTCTATAAGCCCATTCCTGCCCTGGCCCAACGTTGCGAGCCAAAACGGCCCACTAATGGTGATTTTATACAATTCAGTCTAATAAAATTGCAGCTTTGATTGTGTGATAGGTGCTTTTTGTTGTTTTTCAGTTGAATTGAGGGCGTTCACACTGAATTACAACTGCAGATACATAAGTATATACAGATACTTATCTATATACATATATATGTATTTTTTTTTTTTGAGACACTGCCTTACTACGTAGTTTAGGCTGGCTTTGAACTCGATGTGTAGCCCAACCTGGCCTCAAGCACAGCACCCCTCCTGCCTCAGCCCCCTGAGTGCTGGGATTACAACCATGAGCCACCATGCCCAGCCTTTACATATTTTTTTGAGACAGGGTTTTTGTTAAGTCACTGTGTTGGCAAGTTGCCTGGCTAGGCTCACACAGTCCTCTTGCCTCAGCTTTGCAGAGTGCTGGGAGTACAGGCATGCACCAGGCTTGACAGGTTCTATTACGAAGAAGGCACAAGGGGCTAGAAGGCTGTGTGAGGGGCTGCTGGACAACTGGAAAGAGTGGTGGTAGTAACCATGCATTTTGGTGTGTTTTCAAAGTAGTGGGAATGACCAAAATATTTTGGGATGTGGCTGGGTTTTGGCATAATCAGATAAAATGACCATCACTTTGGAGGAAGAACTAAAGGGAGGGGGTGGGGAAACAGGGAACTAGTAAGAAGCCAATGCAGCTGTCCTTACAGATGTGACAGAGGAGTAGAGCAAGAAGCAGCTTGACCTCTGTGCCCCAGGGCCAGAAACTTGGGGAAAAGAGGCTTCAACTCTAGTTTTCAGCCCAGGGCAGGTTCCCCACTCTGGCTACACAGTCAAAGAGAACAGACAGGTAGAAAATGATTGTGTTTTTAATGATAGTCCTCAGTTTAAAAAAAAAAAAAGGCTTTGTTTTGTACACTGTACACACATTTACATCACTTTGGAGGATACCAGTGCTAGAATGCAGGCTTCAGGAACAAATGGCCTGGACATGTCTGAGGTATGTTGAGGCCTTCAGGCCTCAGGGTCTCCAGGGGACACAGCCCCACCCCGGCTGGCTGTGGACATTTTTGCCTGAACCCTGGGGAAGAGCTCTCTAGGATCAGTAGGCACAAGGTGGCAAGATCCAAGCATCAATCCAGAGTAGACTTCGCAGGAAAAGACCCGTGCTGGAGGTCCAGTGGCTTGGCCAGAGCAGAAGGTCATTGGGGACCCTGACGTCACAGCTCTAGCACCAGTACCTAACAGGAATCTCACAGTAGGGATAGAGTCAGAACATGTAGTTCCCTATCTCTGTTGAGGTCCTACCCTGAGGCACAGTGATGAAAACCCAGGTTTGGCTACGACCTACACAGGTGGGTGTAGCTGGCCCAAGACCACCCTCCTGTATATAATGTCATAGCCTCCCTGATCTGAGACATTTGCTGGCAGGTGACCACGACCTGCGTGGCCCTTCCTGCAGTTGTCATGATGATTGTACCCGTCACACCCCCCAGAGGAGACAAAGTCTCTGTCCCATGCCTGATTCCATAGCCACAAACATTGCTGTGGGCCTCTATCCTGATATATGTAGCCAGACAGGGTTCAGAGTCCCTGAAGGAATCCAAGCTGCGGTCAGCGGAAGGTGTTCGCAGGTTCAGCACAGCCAAAGAAGTCAGGACCCACAAGACGGGGGAAACCTTCTAGAACCTTCACCTTCACAGGGTCAAACTTCCAGTAGAGATGGCCGCGCAGGAAGTAGGCATAGCCTGAAGAGAGAAAAAGGTCAGACTAGGCACTCGGATGCTGGGTCTCATGTCTGCCTAGCAGGCTGTACCCACTGACAGGTACAGTGGGGAAAATGGATGAGAGGGCCTTGGCTACTGCCAAGTTTCTTGAAACCTGTAGGCTCCAGAGATGGCCTTCTAGAATGTGCTTTTCCTCCAGGCAGCCTTTATGCCTGGACCAGAGTCTACTGTAGGGTAACACCCAGCCTGACAGACATCAGGAGCTTGAGGATTTGATTCTTCAGGTACCAGGGATCGAACTCAGGACTGCCTGCTTGCAAGGCAGGTGCTTATGCCGCTGAGCTAAATCCCCAGCTCTGAGGATTTGATTCTTAAGAAAGCAGGTCCCACTTTGTCACCCTACTTCCTCTACCAATCAGACTATGAAGGTGGAATCCTGGAGTTCCAAAGCCTGAGGCCACACTGAGACGACTCTTCCAGTGGATCCCAGTGAGGGAAAGCACAGAAGCAAAGATAGGCTGGCAGGTGAGATCACCAGGCTCTGAGTTGAAGCCTGGCTTTTGGCTTCTGTGCTGGGGGTAGGCCAGGTTAGAAGGTTAGAAGAAGAGACGGTCTAATATGAGTTCTGGCTCCATCACTGTCCATCTCAGTGGCCCCATCTACGGACCTATGCCTCTCTTTGCCCCTTTGAAAACTAGGTTCATAAAAGATATTATATGGTGATATATGCCAATCATCTCAGCACTCTGGGAGGCCGAGGCAAGAAGATAACAATTTGGGGCCTAGCCCGACCTTAACAAGACCCTATCGCAAAAATAAAGAAGGAGGGGCTGGGGATTTAGCTCAGCGGCATAAGCGCCTGCCTTGCAAGCAGGCGGTCGTGAGTTCGATCCCCAGTACCAATAAAAAGGAAAAAGACAAAAAAAAAATAAAATAAAATAAAAAATAAAGAAGGAACGGGGGATGTAGTTCAGTGCAAAGACCATGGGTTCAGTCCCTAGTACTGAATAAAAGAAAAAAGAGAAAGAAAGAAAGACAAACTTTTTTAGCCCTCAATATCTTCATCTCCAGTACGGACTATAGTATCAGCTGGCTACCAGGAGAGAAGATGGTACTGGACGAAGAGCTGGGCCTTCTAAAGTGGGCGCCAAGGAACCCATGAGGACCCAGCCACCACCTGATGTGAGATGCTGCTGCTGTACCCACATCCCACCAACTCCCACCAACCCTAACACACCGTCAGCATCCTGGAAGGCGGCATCAATCTCAGGGGGCACCCCTCGCCAGTCAGTGACCCGGCGAGGCACCGGACTGTCCACGCGTTGGGTGCTGGGGTGGAAACGCCAATAGTCTCCGCCTCGGAAGAAGTAGATCTTGTTCTTCTCAGAGCCCCAGACCAAGGCAGCATGGACTGGAGATTCTGGCAGGCCCAGCTTAGAGATGGGTGCAGGACCCAGGACTGGTTTCTCACCATCGTACACCCAGTACTGAGCACCTGCCAGAGAGTGAAGGCTGCAAGTAGCTGTCAAGACACCACTGCCACTCCTGCCCCCGGGACCTGCTGGGCCACCACTGCAGACTCTCCCAGTTTCCTTGTGTATGAAACCTATGGGCTGACAATGCCTGTCCAGCACCCCCCCACCCCCAAAGGGAGTTGGAGCCAGCTGGGAAACAGCAGGCAGTGAAGGCTGTAAAGTAGCACATGAATGAGATTATTTTAAATGACACAGAACTGTTTGAGCTTCCCCCAGGATTTGGATGCCTATCAGAAATACGGATGACCACTCCCTAGCCCAGCCCCTGCCATAGAAGGTCCTTGGCTGCAATGGAACCCACATAAAGTCTCCCTTGCTGCACCTTTGTTTATGAAGTTCTGCCACCTGGAATGCTCCAGGCTCTCATCTCTGCAGCTGAGCTTGGAAAGTACAAGCTCCAGGCACCAGACCTTAGATCCCTTCTGTACCTTTCCGAGCTGCGCCCTCAAGTGAATTACTTTACCACCTCTAGAACCCCACACCCAAGGCGTGGCTTTGAGGGTAGAGAGCACCAACACATATGGTGCCTAAGTATGCAATACCTTTAGCGCTACTCTGATCTCAAGAGCTGCCTCCTTGGGAGCCTCCCAGCGGAGACTAAGGAGTGAGCCGTGCTCTTATGGCTCTGAGCTTTCAGGACAACTTCTCCATTTGCATCATGTCCCTGGAGAGCCTTGGTTTTGACCTTCCTGGCTCCAGGAAATCTCTTAAGCTACTTTCCAAAACCCACTTACCTTGGAAAAACCAAATATGGCCCTGGGCATCCTCGAATGCTGCATCCACAGGACTGGGCAGTCCCTGCCAATGGCGAGAGGCCAGTACAGGGTACCCAGGCTGTAACTGGCCACCACGCAGCCTCCACACAAAACCTGCCTTGAAGAAGAAGAGCTCGCCTCGGATGGTGGAGACGGCATCAAAGGAGGCTTCACAGACATCTGGTGGAGTTTCCGGCTTGGGTGGGAAAGAGGAGCCAGAAGAGAGGCCTCACTTGAGCCACAGAGGCCAGCAGGAGTTGAGGGTGTCACTCAGACAGGGCCTCACCTCCTGTCTTTCTACCCTCCCAAGTCTCACCTCCAATGGTGCGATCTCATTGGTGTTTATTCCATCTTGGGGTTCCACAGTTGGGGCATGGGAGGTGGGGGCCAGCCGTGGCCGGCCATATAGGTGCTGGATGCCCCTGCGGTCATCTGGGCTGAGGCTCAGTGGGTAGCGGAAGGTGTAGAAAGGGGACATAAGGGCCTTGGCTGCTGTTGTATGCTGCAGCCCCAGTACATGGCCAAATTCATGAGCTGCAACCTGCAGCAAGTCTGTGCCTGGAAAAGGGAGGCGGGTCAGCAATACCCCTCACCCCGCCACACCTCCCAAGATCCTGAGTCCAGCTCAGGGACCATGGCAAGTGCGCATTCTCTACAATCCCCAGTTGTCCCATCTGGAAATGGGTTGCCAGGCCATACCCTGGTTGTCCCCAATAGTCCAGGTCTCATCAAAGTCGAAGTGGACGTCCCCTTCTCGGTGGGTTTTGGGGAAGAAGGCGTGGGCCAGGATGCCCCCAGGCCCATCAAAAGGCAGGTTGTCCCCATGCCAGTAGCTGTGGGTGGGTGAGGGCAGAATCAGTGGCTGCTTGGCAGAGGGTTTGTTCCCAGAGGGGTCCCAGGCTGCAGGTTCACCTGGCAAAGTCGATCATGATGTCAGCACGGCCCTCATGCACCTCGGTGAAGGTGAGTGGTGTTACATCGCTCCACACCTGGAGGGCTTCTGCCACCGTCTTCCGTACCTCCTTCCGCACCAACTGCCATGGGAACCGGAGAATTCTGCAGGGAAACAAGGAGTCTGACCTTGGGGCAGGGAACCCCCTGATGATGAAAGAGCCAAGTTGCCCCTGAATGCTCAATATCTGTGTGTATGCAAGGGCCAGGGTCAGGTGTGCTCTGGGCCTCAGGAATAGCCAGGCAGTCTCCCTGGCCATGTGGGTGCAGTCTTTGTGTTGGCTTGTGTATATTGAGATGTATACAGTTCTGCATTTGGTGGAAAGCATATGGGACCGTGAGTCTTGAGACCTGACAGTTCCATTCACTGTGGGGAGACGCTGGGTCCTTAAGCTTCGTTTTTATTCCCAGTTCACCACCCAAGGAACTCCCAAGGCCCCAACAATGCTGTGTGACACTAGTCCATTCTTCTCTCCCAAGCTAAGTCTCAGCTTCTTAATCACCTGCCTAGGAGCATCCCAGGCCATCCGGTGAAGAGCAGGCTGTTCCCTACCCCTGTTCACCATGGTTTATAGCTACAAATGGCCTAAATTGGGATGGTAGATTTGATCACCATCCCTGGAGGACAGGGCTGTTTCTCACGGAATCCAGGTCTGGCCTTTACAGAAACACCTGTCTCTAGGCATATTCAGAAATACCCTGGATGATGATAGAGGATGGCCCCCATGCTTCTGGAGAGTATAGGCATGTGTTTTAGTCAGTGGTCAGGCTGTTGGTCCATGACAGCTAGAAACACAAGAATAGATCTGTTTTCTATGTAGATCAAGCCCTGGCAGTGTCTCAGGAAGGATGGGTGAGGGCATCAAGCTGTCACACAGACACACAGTCCTGCTCTGATGGCCTCTGGCCCCTACCTGTAAGTGAGGTCTGTCTTCTCCCAGTGCCCACCGGACAGCACAAAGCGCTTCTGCCGGTTGCGGGTAGTCAGCCCATCAGGTGGGTCAGGTACGCCACAGCGTGGAGGTCTGGAGCCACCAGCAGGCCTGGGGGCCTCCTGAACATCAGAAACAGATGCCAGGCTACTAGATAGAGCTGCATGCCACGGCTTCTGCCCCCTACTCACATGATGGTGGTAGTGGGTGTCCTGGGCAAGAAACAAGAGCCACGTTAGACCTCAGGTCCTCATGGCCCCAGGTTAGATACATAGCTCATCAGCACAACCACACACAGCCCCAGCCCGCTGTGTCCCTGGGCAAACTAAGAGGCTGGCAGAGGAGCCTGCATGAAGCAGGGCCTTTTGGCCCTAGGCTGACACTGGTTTCCTGATACCTTGTTCCAAGGCATCAAGCTTTCACCTCCTCCCTTCCCTGCCCATCACCAACCTTGGCTGCTCAGGCCAGTGCGGTCTGGATGAGAGACTGTGAGCCTAAGAACCCCCAGCTGTGCTCTCCACATGAACTCAAAGTGGATCCTAAAAAACCTGCCAAGGATACATCAGACAAGCTCCTCCCGCTCTCTGCACCAGCTCTCAGCAAACTTGTTTTTCCCTCCCTTTCTTTGGATGTCCACTGAGTTCAGACACACCCAGCCCCAGGTATATAAACAGCCTCCGCCCTTTCTCCTGCTCCATGCTCCACCCCCAGCATGGACAGGTTGCTCCCCTGCCATGTGGTCTTGTTTGTCACCTGACAGATGGTGGTAATAATCCCTCCTCTTGATTTGAGGATGAAATGAGATGGTGTGTATTGAACACTTAGCACAGCTCAGGCATCTGGGAAGGGAATCTGCTAACCCAGATCTGATTTCATTTCTTAGAGGGGGTGCTGGGGACTGAATCCAGGGTCTCATATTTTCTACCACTGAGTGACACCCACAGCCTCCTGAGGTCTGATTTCTAACAGAGATGGTTTTGTTCACATCCTGCCAGGCACATGGCAGGATGGGCACATGGTGGGACCTAGATCTGTGATGTACCTGCACCTTTCAGGCAGGGAGGGTGGGGTAGTCAGTTACTAGACATCCAGATCCATCCTGCCCAGGCCCCAATTCTGACCTGAGATGTTTTCTCCCAGCCTCTGCAAGTCCCCAGGGCAGAAGTCATAGTTCTCATCCATGAAAAAAGCAGAAGCTCAGAGAGGTTGCCCAGAAAGGGAACGGAAGGGCCAGGTAAGGATTCTGATGCCCCAGGTCAAAGATAGAGATAGTACACAAAAGCCAAGTGTTTTCCTAGGCTGGAGAAGAGGGATGGAGCCATGCTGTTTGCAGAGACACTTGGTACCTGTCTGGTCTGGGGCTGCCTGATCTGGGTGGTTGCAGCCTTCCCATAGCCATATTTGGGGTGGGAACTTGGCCATTCAGACTCCACCCTCAGCCTCAGCCCCTGGCAGCTCTCCCAGGCTCCAGAGTTCAGATCGGGAGCTCTAAGTTCCGGAGCTGGGGACTCAGTTTTTAGGAATGCTTCACAATGAAGGCGACTTCTAGATCATCAGGGGCACTAGAGTTACTTGGGCCGTGAGGCCCTAGACCAGTTTCCTCCTAATTCAGGGACTGCTTAATACAAGGTTTCCTGGTACAGCACAACCTCCCTAGGTTGTGCCCCTGCTGATTCTGGGCTACCTGTTAATAAGTACTTGTCACTGTGATGGGCTAGGACCCTGCCCACAGCTGTACCCACATGCTCTTAGTACCCAGGGTAGAATTTCTTGCCAATTCTTTTTTTTTTTTTTTGTCTTTTTCCTTTTTATCGGTACCGGGGATTGAACTCACGACTGCTTGCTTGCAAGGCAGGCACTTATGCCGCGGAGCTAAACCTCCAGCCCTCTCTTGCCAATTCTACCCTCACGAAGTCCATTTCTCTGATGAAGACGTGGAGCAACTTGCTCAGATATCTGGCAGAGCACAAACCCTCTGAGCTCCTAAGCTACTCACTCCCTGCTGCCTGCCTTGTTCTTGGAGATTTATCTATTCCCCGGAGGAGGAGCCCAGGCTGACCTCACCTTGGCAGAAGAGAAGGAATGGGAAATTATAAGCACCTGCTATGTCTCAAGCACCATACGGTGGGGATGATGCTTGTCTGAAATCTCACATGGAGAGTCTGGACACCAATCTGTGTAACTAAATGCAAGGGCCTGCCCACTCACTCCAGCCTACAGGATAAACAGATTCTTTCCCTGAAACCTACAAGGGATCTAGTCCCCTGGGAAGCTCTAACAACTTAGAGCCCAGCCTGTCAGCATTACTTATGCCAGAAATGTCTTTTCCCCTCTGCTTCCTGGTACAGCGCCCCATAAAGGGAGGGGAGATCATGGAAGCACACCTCACTGTGCCTTTCTCCCCTTCCTCCATGAGATTTCAAGTCCTCAGTCAGACCCCTGTATCACAATAGCATTCTCAGTGCAGCACAGACCTGAGCTCTGAGGTTCTGAAAGCCTAGTTCTATGCTACTGTGACACTGGGAATGTCACAGTATAAGTCACGGCCTTGTTTCAGCCTTGACTTCTCCATCTGTCAAATGGGGATGTTCCCATGACAAAGAGCTAAGTGATTCCTCTTGTTATGCCCACTGTGGCATCTGGCACAGAAAAGCACTCTAATGTGGCCCTGTTCCCTGCTCCTGTAGATCCTTCCTTTCCAAATTCTTGGAAACTCTCCCAAATTCTTGCACTCTCCCAAATTCTTGGCCTTCCCAGGACTACTTGCATCCAGTGAGGTGGACTGCTGGTCATGGTGGCCTTATCTACAACCCTGACAAGTTAGGGCAACAGCCATTATTCTATTTCCCAGAGCATGAAAAGCATCCAGAGATTGAGAACTTTGTCCAGGGTCACAAAGCGAGTGAAGCAAAAGCTGGGCTCAGACCTGGGCCTCATGCATCCCCTCCAGGGCTTTCCCTCACCACCACCACCACCCGCCAGCTCTTGGCTTATTTCTCAAACCTACATTCCTGAGAAGTATTTCTGCCTCTAGTGCATTCCCTCTTCTTCAACCAGTAGCCTCCCTTTGGCTGCCCCACCCTAGGTGCCTCTCCTCCCCACACTGGAGCTGGAGGCTCCCAGTGTGTTTGCAGAGACCCACAATAGACTAGCTAAGAACCCCTCCACCCCACCCAGCAGCCACCAACCTCAGTGTCTCAGACACATTCAAGGAATTTCTTGGCTGACCTAGTCTCCTGGTTAAACTCAGAGACTCAAGGTCAGCCTCTGTGCCAACTTCTAACCCAGAAAGTAGAGGGGAGAAGGGAGATATAAAGGAAGACCCAGGCTAGGAAACAACTGTGTAAAACCAGGCTAGTTATAACTCTCTGGGCCTCAGTCTGCTTTCACTCCAATGGGGACGGTTAACCAGGGCAATCCCTTTTGCTGCCAGCAAGAGGCAGCCGTAAGAGAATGAACTTTGTCAGGCTGTGAAGTCAGAGGGGCATCACCAGACGGTTCTGTGAAGCATTGTGCCCCTCTGAGGTTTAGAGAGGTCAAGTAACCCGCCCACCCGCACAAACATCTTCATCTTCTCCACACTTGTAACGGCCGCTTTCCACCCACCCCTCTGCTGGCTCCAGGAAGGAAAGCAGCTTTGTCCCACTAGGTTATGGGGCTTTCATCAACCCTGGAAGCTGGGAACTGGGCTGGATAAATATTTACAGAGCTCTTCAGGCCCCGGCTGACATAGCCTAGGGATAAACATGCTGGAGGCAAACCCAAATGCTCCCTGCATGTCTGCAGAGACAAACAATAGACCAGCTCAGAACCCCTCCACCCCAGGAAGCCCCTAATCCCAGCACTGACCCTGCACAAGCATCAGAGAGGAAGCTACAGGTGACACAGTGTCTCCAGCATACCTGGCATTGCTTCATTTCATCCTGAAGACTCAGTAGTAAGCACTGTGAGCCCCTCCTGCCCTCATCCTCTCATTACAGGTGGAGCAGATGAGGATCCCAGGGGGAAGACAGCTTACTGCTTACCTAGTGTCACATGGGTCAAACCGAGATCTCTCCAATTCCCCAACCGTAGGTTCAACAGCTACCCAGGGTGATTCCTTACTCTGGTCTAAGTTTTAGGGGACTGAGAGGAGCCATCCATTCTCCCCCACCCCTCCTTCCCAGCCAGCCCCTTCTCCTACAGCAAATGATAGGCCAAGTTGGCTGGTGAGGGCAGGCATGGCTGAGCAGGCTGTCACACTCTCTCGCTCCCATTGTCACCTGAGCTGGGGGGACACTTCAGCTGTGGGGCACAGTGGGCCAGACCTCCAGGCGCCTTCAGGCCTGCAGTGGTCCAGGCTCTGGCCCCAGGCCATGCTGAGCTGTCCCTGTGACAGTCCCTCCTCTCTTCACTCTGCTGTGCTCTCTCTTCTCCTGTTCCCCACCTTTTGCCTTCTGAGGGTCTCACCCACCCCTTTCTCTCTGACACCCACCTGATGATCACATACGCACAGTCGTGGTTCTCTGGTTCCAAGTCTCCCAAACCTGTCTCCCAGAGGTGCTGATGGGGTGGCATCTCCTACACACACACACACACCCCATTTTTCCCAAGGCTTTGGCTCTCCTCCCCAGCTCTTCCTTTATCTCCGTCCCACTGAACACCTGGAGGTAAGCTGTGTGGCCACACACCTGGAGGCTGACACCTGCCTGGGACCTGCTCGGCTTTGTCCCTGTCATGAATAAGAGGCCCTGTTACCACTCCCTCTGCTACCCCTCCCAACACACATCTCGGCATCCGTGCGGCTGGGGCACGCAGAGCAGGTCCCCAAGCTGGGAGGGGGCGTGCGTCCAGCATGGAGTCCTGCTTCATCAGCCCAAGCGATCCCCGTGCAGACTCCAATTTGCACACCTCTGGGGATGGGAAGCTCACCATCAAACCCACAAGAACCCAGAAGCCGGCTGCAGTACCAGCCGCGCCAGGCCACCCGGGGCGCCCCGGTGGGTTCAGCTCGGCCGGCGGGCGCAGCCCTCCCTCGGGGAGGAGCTGCAGGCCGGCGGCGGGCACTCACCAGTGGCCTGGCATGAGCTAGTGGCTGCGGCGGCGGCAGCAGCAGGAGCAGCGGGAGCAGGAGGGCGCGCGGGGCAGCGCCGCGGAGCCCGGCCGCCCGAGCCATCCGCCCGGGGCTGTAGGGCCTGCTGGGCCGCGCCGGGCAGCGGCCCCCTTATAGCCTCCGCCCCGCCCCCGGCCCGCCCCGGTTCCGCCCCCCGCCGCCTTTTGTTCTAAACTCTCCGGGCTGCGGTGGCCTAGGTGGGGGAGGTGGTTTAGGAGGTGCTGGACCCGCAGGGGTCCGGCTCGGAGATCAGTCCGGTCCCGAGGTGGACCAAGCTCCAATTGTCGGAGCTCTGTTGCTGGCTGTAACTCTAGCCGGCTGGTACCGCTGTGGGCCTCAGTTTCCCCGCCGTGTACAAAAGTTCCAAAGCCTTAGACCTGGTGAGTCCGAGGCGTCAGATTTCACTCTCCCTGAAACCTACGCCCACCCTTGGAGGGCTCATCACCCGTCTAGGTCTCCTTTGTGGCCTGACCTTCGACCTTCTGTTAGCTGGTGACAGGTGGTCCTTCTCTTAGGCAAGTTCTCCCAACCCTCAGAGCCAACTGATCCATGTGAGGAAAGATATTAAAATGTGTCCCAGGGGACACGGAGGCATATGGCAGTGGCTGACCAGTCCCTGACTTTGCAACAGAGACAATTTGTAGATTGGAAAAACCGAAGCTCTGAGAGGGAGGGGCCAGGCTTTTCCATACAGGAGGGAAGCAGACCTCTGGAGAACCTCTAGCTAGGAGGCTGGGGGACGGGGCTGTAGGAAGGACCTAGACAACTGTCTCAGCAGGGCACTGGAGGGCCAGGCTGTCCCCTGGCTAGGGCCCAACAGGCTCTTCTGGATCTCTCAGAAACAGACATCTGAGACATGAAGGAAAGGAGGTGAGAATCAAAGCAGTGGTAGTGTCTACTTTCTAGAAGGGATCCTCCAGTCTCTAATTGGAGGTTGTGCTCCATCCTGCTGTGCACCCCAGTGATGAAGGGCCTTTCCCCTACCCATCACACTAGACAATCTGCCCCATCACCGCAACCCTCCAGAACAGAGACCTAGGCGGTGGCTCCCTTCCACCTAGGCAAGCAACGTTGTGAGGGAGGTGAGGCTGTGGGCTTCCAGTTTGAGCCAGAGGGGTAAGGGGAGGGCACACCTCACTTCTTCTGCAAGACTCCACAGAGACTCCTAGAGGACAAGGAGGGACAAGACAGGGTGAGTTTTAGGACTTAAGAGACTGTGTTTCTCAGTGCCTCACTTTAAGTGTATGGGTTTGCAGTATTGCAGATTAAACCCATCACCCTTGCGCTGAGCCTATGTTCTTAGTCCTTATTTATTCATTCATTCATTCATTCATCTATTTTTAGTTTAAGACAGGATCCCAAACATTGCTAAGTTGTCCATCAAGGTTGGCTTCAATCCTTCTGCCTCAGCCTCCCACAGTGCTAGTTTTTTTTTTTTTTTTTTTTTTTTTTTTTTGTATCAGGAGTTGAACCCCAGACCTCATGCTTGCTAGGTAGGTACTGCACTCCTGAGCTATATCCCTGACCCCGTGATTATATTTTTTTCTTTTTCTTTTTCAAATCCATTTTATTCAAGGACAAAAAGAAAGAAAAAAAAAAACTACAAAATTTCAAAACACATCAGGGTACATTTTTTAAAGATAAGCTATCTTTACTTTTTTATTTTTTTCTTTCTTTTGTATGTGTCTTTTTTTTTTTTTTTTTTTGAGACAAGATATTGTTCTGTAATTTAGGCTGCCCTTGGACTATGTAGCCCAGGGTGGCCTTGAACTCACAGCAATCCTCCTGTCTCAGCTGGGATTACAGGTTTGTGCTACCATGCCCAGGTTATCAATGTCTGCGTCACCCTTACTTTAGTAATATTGCTCACATTTTTAAAAAAATTTAGGACTGAGTTGGGTAAGCTCTTTATACATCTTCTGATACACAAATTAAACATTCATTTGTTTAACTACTTTAAATGGCCTTGAGTGCCTCCAAGGGTACACTGCTGTGCTTTGTGGAATCTGCAGGCCACCAGCCATAGAAATCAAAGAACAAGCATCTAGATGCAGGTCCTGGGGCAGGGACACCATTACTCACCAACAGTGTCCTTAGCTAGATCGGTTAATCTCAGAATGCTTCCTGCAAGAGGAGGGTCCTGATAAGCCTGGCAGGCTGGTTCCATTTGGCCAATGGGAACCCCGAGGGTGGGAACTACAAATGCAAAACAGTGGGGTTGGAGCAGGCCTGGCACATCTGAAAGGAGGTTACACACACAGCTCAATAGGAAGCCTGTGCTTGAGAAGTACAATCACCCTCACTGCAGAGAGAATCAGAGGACTGGGGAGGGGAGGTCCCTGCTGCACAGGCTGGTTGAAAGGAGTAAGTGTAAGAACGCAGGAGTGTATGTGACTTTTGTGAACAGTGTGTAGGGGAAAAGCTTTGCACACTTATAACTGAGTGCCACCAGACATGGCCAATCCTAATAATTCAGCTTTCCACCTGTCCCTAGCACTTCCTCCCTCCCTTTCCTAGAGGGACCTCTGCTCCCCACTTGGCAGCCAAGCTCCCTCTCTCAGATGCTTTTCCTCTTGATGGTTTCCGGTGCCAGTCAGCCTCTTCTGGTACACCAGTCTGTACAGAGGAAGGGAAAGAAATCAGGGTCTCTCCCTGCCCCACTGTCATAGTATAAGCATAGCAGTTACCCAGGGTGGGTAAAAAAAGCTTCAAGTTCCTGAAAGGCAGGGAAGCATTCTAAAGTCACACCTTTGTCATCACTTTAGTTGGGAACCACGGTGGTAAAATCCTGAGGCCTCAGACCCTGGCTTGATGGCCCATGCTGTAATTCCAGCACTCAGGGAAAACAGGGCAGGAGGATCACAAGTTTGAGCGCACCTGGGCAACGTAGTGAGACCTTGTATCAAAATAATAAAGATCTGGGGATGTAGGTCAGTGTGATTGACCAAAAAAAAAAAAAAAAAAAAAAAAAAAAAGTCCCCAGACCTAAGAATTCAAACGCAGGACAAGCACGTCTAGGCACTCAGGCTAAAGGCAGCGTTTGGGATAGACACGCAGTCAGAATGCCGCGTAAACGCTGTCAGGGTCCGGCGCTGTGGTTAAGATCCCAGCGAGCGGGTCCTCTGAAGTTCTCACAAGCAGAGCCTTCTTGCATTCCCCACCGATGCTTCTCGGGTTGTTCGACCCAGGAAGAGTCAAAGAAGGGTCTGGACGCCCCCTTGCGGGAGTTCTTGGATGGATCACTCTAGTCCACCCCAAACTGAGACCACGTGGTGCGCAGGTGTAGGGAGCGAAGACCGACCTTGCATCTTCTTCCTCCGGTTGTCTCTCTCCCTGCCCCCCTGCCGTGGTCCTTCTAACAAAGACCTGGTCCTGTCGCTCCTGCTTCATTCCTCGGCGATCCGCGACAACGGCCGGTGTCCGTACGGTCCTCATAGGTCGAGCCAGACGTGGGGAGGGAGCAATGACCTCTTTGCAGCTGAGACGAGCGTGCAGAGCAGAGGGATGCCGGAAGAAGGAGAAGCCGCGGGGCGGGAACGAGGGTAGGGCTAGGAAGAGTGCCGCCTCCAGGGGGGCGTGTCCTTGAAGCCCCGCCCCGCCCCCTTGCTGGAGGAGCTGCAGTTTCTGACCGAGAGTTACAGACGCTGTCCACGCGCAGCTCGTATCGTCTGAATCCTCTACCATGCCTCGGGGAAGCCGCAGCGCGGCCGCCCGGCCAGCCAGGTGTGAGGAAGACCTGGGTCCCGTGGGGCCGGGGCTAGGGAAGCGTGGGCAGTCCTCCAAGGACGTCCACGGGGTGACCTTGGTTGCTATAGCGCCATCTTGGTGGGGGGGGAGGGGTGCCGCAACCCTTCTTCTAAGACCGAGGTCGCGCGCGTTCCCTGGAGGAGATGGATCTTTTCCGGGAGCTACAGGCGTCTCACACCCCAGGAGTCCGAAAAGGATTAACCCTGCTTCTTTCTACCCCGCAGCCGCCCGGCTGCAGCTTCTGCCCACCCTCCCGCGCATCCACCACCCTCTGCAGCCACCCCGGCTCCTGCTCCGTCGGGCCAGCCCGGCCTCATGGCACAGATGGCAACCACCGCCGCTGGGGTGGCCGTGGGCTCAGCTGTGGGACATGTCATGGGCAGTGCCCTGACCGGAGCCTTCAGTGGGGGAAGCTCGGAGCCTGCCCAACCTGCAGCCCAACAGGTGAGCAGCAGGTCCAGGACAAATGAAGCTGGACTCCTCAAGGCCACTGAAGTGTCCTGGTGTATCCCAAATGCCCTCCGGCTGGGAACTTTGACTAAGAAGGGTGCTATGCTCACTTTGCTGTTGAGCTCAGTGTCACTGGCTCACCCTGCCTCTTTCTTGAGGCAAAGGCTCCAGAAACTGACACCATCCGGTCCTTTTTTTAAAGGCAGTGTGGCTCAGAGACTTGTTCAGGGTCACTTAACTTTAGTGGGAGAGAGGAATTTTGACCTTCTCAAGTCTTTGTTGTCATGCTGAGGTCCAGTATGTGGCCACGGGGGCCAAGGGTGAAGGGTAGTGTGTGACCATGACGCCTGTTCCTTGATGACCTGTCCCTCATTGGGGCCTTGCCAGTGCTGAACCAAATCCAAATGCTGCTTAGCAGCTGGCTCAGGGTCATGAGAATCAGTGCCAGGAAGGTGCTAGAACTTGTGAGGGTGGGGCTCATACTCTTAAGACTGTATGCTTAATATAGGGTTTTCTAGAACCTTCTATTCCCCCTGCAGCTGCCTAACATGCCCATTTTGAGGCAGCAGGAAAATCCTTCTGCATCTGCTGAGTGCCTGTGAGAAGGCTGCTAGCTTACCCTGTTTCACAGATGGAGCAGCAGAGGTTAGACAGGAGCAGACAAGCCCCAAGTCATTCAAGATACCTTAGACCCGTGGGCATCCAGGCTGAGAAATTGGGGAGAGCCAGGCAGCCCTCTCGCAACCCTGAGATGACACTGTTGCTTCTTGCAATGTGCCCCTAGGCCCCTACCCGTGCTGCCCCCCAGCCACTACAGATGGGGCCCTGCTCCTACGAGATCAAGCAGTTCCTGGACTGCTCTACCACTCAGAGTGACCTGTCCCTGTGTGAAGGCTTCAGTGAAGCCCTGAAGCAGTGCAAGTACAACCACGGTGAGCAAATAGACTCTACCCCAGTACCCTTTGGGGTGGGGGGTAGACCTTCTTGCATCTGCAGGGTGATCACCAGCCTGTGTACCCCACCCCCACAGGTCTGAGCTCTCTGCCCTGAAGAGGCTGCTGTGGACTCCTGCATCAGCTGTGACATGGCTCCCAGGCCACAGCGCTGCCCCCACCCCATTCCCTCACCGACAGCCGGACCATGATGACAGATTGTACCTGGGAGTAAGGCTGGGGCTTCTTACCCCACAGAAAACCAAGACACAAACATGTAATTAATTAAAGTGTTTATTTTAGAACACAGCCCTATGTGTACCCTCTTGCTGGCCTGACTGTCAGGAGCATCCTAGCTGGTCAGGGAAATTGATGTGTCATTATGGCATGCTGGGAGGAACCCTGTTGTAATGTACACTGTGGCTAGCCATGGACAGACCACCTTGGGGAGTCCAAAGTAAGATGATAAAGGCATTAGAAGGTGACACTAAGGCCATTTGACTCTGGAGACTGCAGTCCAAGGGGGAGCCTGTTGTCTCTACCTCTAAGGTGTCCTTTCACTCTGACTGTTTCTGCCTCTGGATCCCATTATCCTCACCCACATCTTACCACCACCACCCCAGCCTCACATGTATGTGACCTTGCCCCTCTTGCTGATGCAACTTCTCAGTAATTCCAGGTTCCGCAAGAGGACTCCTGCTGGTTTGCTCTCTGTTTGCACCTGATCACATGAGACAGAGGTCAGAGCCACCAACCTTGGTGGCTTGGCTACTTGGCTAATGTGTGCTAAGTCATGGGGCATGCTGGAACAGAGGAAGAGGCCATTTGAACCCAGTGCAGCCTGCTTCATGCACTTTTTCCTGGTATTGGAGATGGAACTCAGGGCCTCACACATGCAAGTGCCCTACCACTGAGCTACATTCCCAGCACGCGTGCGCACGCACACACACAAACACACACACACAGAATGGTGCTGGGGATCTAATCCAGCCCCTTGTGCATGGTAGGCAAGTACTGTGCTGTGCATTAAGCTCCTACTATGTGTCATACCCTATTCTACATCTAAGCACTGAGGACTTTCTTGCTTCAGGGGCTCACATTCCAGCAAGGTGGACCCATCTCAAGGCACAGTGTCTTCCCTCTTAAGGGTATGTACGTAGGGTTGGTTGAGGGTCTGCCTCTGTATATACATGTCTTTCCCTTGGGCATGTCTTTCTGGGCATCCATACCTTCTTCACAGTGGATTCCTGGCCCCAGCTAGCGGGTCTTGGATGGCAGTGAGCCCACTCTTCGGGACCTTGAAGAAGTGCCTTGCTCCTGCTGGCCTCGCCGATTGCCCGTGCGTCGCCTTCTGCTGTTGCCTGTGGCTGGGAGGCCTGACAGCCAGCGCAACTCCTCTGGAAGGCCCAGGAAGCCCTGCTTATGGAGACTGGAGAGCAGAGGTGCCCTCTCCCTGGGTGCCCTCTCAGCCCTGTCACTCACCTGCTAGCTCAGGATAGCAGTCATCTAGGTTCTCCAGGAGGGACACATAGCGGGTGGGGGCTCCACCTTCTCCTGTGGATATGGAGAGACAGAGGGTCCCTGGCTAGCCTGATGGTCCCCCACCTGCCTTTTACTCTGGATCTGTGCTGGCCTGGGCAAGGGAGACAGGACAGGGTCCTGGGTAAGAATAGGTTGGAGCTAGGTCCTGGCCGCAGAGGACTAGGTAGGGTCTTGGGTTGTCTGTAAACTGCTGTTCTCTTACATTTCATGTCACTGCAGAGGACAGTCTTGAGCTGTACTTACTGATAATCTGCACGAGGACATAGGTCCCTCGCTCATGCAGCAGGGGACGATGGCCCATGGAGGGGGTTGAGGAAGTCCCCTCCACGTCCTCACCCAGACTCACTAGGTGGCCGTCCTCAGCCAAGAGGGCAATGGTTGCTGGAGAGCAAGGAGAGAAGTGGGGCAGTGCTGGCACCCCTTCCTTTGGACTTTCAGCCCCTTCACCCCGGACTGCTTCCCATCTCCTTACCATCGGGGGGTACTTGCCCCTTTTGCTTCAGGTGGGCATTGAGGGTCACCAGGCTGCACCAGGGATTGACCAACTCACAATGGCCAGCTGAGGGGCAGAGACAGAGCAGTTAGCATCCCCTACTTTTTTGTAGGTGTTTTTTTTTTTTTTTAATCGGTACCGGGGATTGAACTCACAACCGCCTGCTTGCAAGGCAGGTGCTTATGCCGCTGAGCTAAATCCCCAGCACCAGCACCCCCTACTTTACCCCCAATCGAGGTCTTTTGCTTCTCCCTCCAGCCCCACCCCCCACGGGGGGGGGGACAGGGCTGTGGCTAGGGCACAGTAGTCCAATTGTGAGTTGTGAATGATTAGGATTCATGCTTGAGGTTCACTATTTAGGTCCCCCCACTATGGCCAGGACCCAGCTATGCCCTGAGCACAAGCTTGACCTGCATTTGCCCAGCAGCCCACCCAGCCCGACGCCCTCCCCCTCCCAGAGAGCAGATCGGCCTCTTTCAGCAGACCTTAGCAATGTGGTCTGGCGCCAGGGGGGCAGGGAATATGCAACTGCAGCTTCAGGTATCTGATGCCAACTGAGGCTAGAGGACCACCGATCAAATGGCAAAGAGATGCTGCAGTTTTTAAAAGGCTGCACTGGAGCATGGCCAGTGATCACCCAGGAGGAACTCACGCAGGACTCAGCCCGGGTTTCCCGTCTCCAGGCTCTTGCTCTGTTTTTCTATAAACCTGCTTCCCCAAACTCCCATCCTTTCCTGCTCTGTACTCCTTCCACCACCACTGCCTCCTCACCACCCCTAGGAATAGCAAGGCACGCCTCAAAGAATGTCCCTTCCCGCCCACTGCAAGGGACCCCACTTACCTCCAAACATCACCGTGATAAACATGGCTGCAGCAGCAGGGAGGAGATAGGTGGCTGGGCAGAGGGTGAGGGGGGATGTTGATCCTCTACCTTTTGACTCCCCCAGCCTGAAAGGGCCTGAGATCTACTCCAGGGTGGGGTCCTGTTGGGGAGACGTGAACATGTGAAGGTTGGATAGGTGGGTAATCTCAGCCCCGAGTCCCAGCTCTGCCACCTGCACAGTTACTCCTAGACACCCCCCCCCCCCGGGCTGCCTCCTGTCCCTTTTCAGCTGGCCAGCTGGAGGAGCTCCCCCTAGCTCCTAAGCTGGTCTCCATGGCACTGGGAGCCGCTACAACCTCTAGGGAGGAAATGCCTTCGCCCCAGTGTCCGGGTAACAGAAGCTGTGGGCGTTCCCCAAGGCGGTGCTATGATCGGATGATAGTAGAGGCTCCAAGTTGGGGGTCCACGAATACTCAGATGTGGACTTCAGAGCCCACAACCTCCAAAAGGAAGAGATGGAGCCCCCGGCCTGGAAGAAGTGGCTGTGTTTGTGTCCTTACCAACCTGTGCAGACTCTACACCTAGGTATCTCCCGTGCTGGCTTTCTTTCCCTCTGTCCCTTTCTCTCTCCCAGCCCTCCACTCTTCCATCTGTATTTCTCTTTCTTACCAGTTTTATTGAGTTGAAAGTTACATACATTAAAATTCGCCCTTTTCAATGACTTGAGGGATTCTTTGGTTTGTTTTTGAAATAGTAGGAATCGAACCTACTTTTGCAATGAGGTACATTTCCGGCCCATTTATTTATTTAATTAGAGACAAGGGCTTGATAAATTACTGAGGAGGCACTCCAACTTGTGATTCTTCTGACTCAAATTCCTAGAGTGCTAGAATGATAGATGTGTGTCACTATGCCCAATGTATTTTTGAGCTTTGACAGATCTCAATATCACCAACCAGGATATAGAGCATTTGCATTACCCCCCAAATTCTTTATGCCTTCGTAGTTAAATCAAAGCAAATCAACCCTCTCCAAAATAAATAAAACCAGAGGCAAATCCCTTACACATATGCCTGACAATAAGAGCTATGCACAACAACTCTGCCGGAACCACAGTCTTGCGCAAAGGCCACCACAATCTCACACAGAAATGCGTCTGCAAGGACATCTGCCTGGCGACTGTGTGTTTAGTCTTGGACTGGCGCCACGCTTGTTATCGATACTTGTAGCCAAGGATTATTGCTGCAAAATATTTTATGATATCCATTTCATCTTTAAAAATTTCCCTTTGCCTCAACCTCCTTGAATACACTCATGGTTTATTATGTGTATGTTTATTCGCATTGCAATGTTACTTTCTCCCCAAGAGAATTTCTCGAGTTATTTAGGTTGACATAGTCAACCCTAGTCGCTGGTGTCCACTGCTCTTTTTTCTGTCCCTGCCTTTCCCAGGATGTTATATAAATGGAACCACACAGTATGGAGCCTGTTATGTCTGCCTGCTTCCATTTAGCAGGATGCATTTCAAGCTGCATGTATGAATAGTTTCCTTATTGCTGAGGAGTGTCCCTTTGTCTGAATGTACTGCAGTTTGTCAATGTATTCAGACTTAGAACCTTTTAATGAATTTTCTAAGAACTCTTAAGCTACACTAAAATTTTTTAAAAAACTACTTTTAATCATCTATAGAAATGATCCCCGAAAGTATAGTCTTACTAATTTTAAAATAAATTAATACTGCTTGTGTGATTTTTTTTACACATATTAAGTGTAATTATAGGAAATATAATTTCCTAATTATAGGAAAGCCAACTAAAGCTTGATCACATTGGGGCTGTGGATTTAGCTCATCGGTATAAGCACCTGCCTTGCAAGCAAGCGGTCGTGAGCTCAATCCCTGGTACTGATTTAAAAAAAAAAAAAAAAACTTGATCACATTAAGCACTACAAAATAAAGGCAAAAGCTAATCACCCTTTAACAGAAATAGTCTGTATGCAAAAATTCCAAGTTTCAAGTGTATGATTTAGTGGCTGACAACTGTCTGCAACAAAACATGAAACAAAATAATTTTACTGGGTTGCTTTTCACTCTTCAACCATCTATTTATCTAAAGTAAAGATTTCTGATAAAACCTGCACTTAGTTTATCCATTCAATTTCTCCTTCTATCATTCTTTTCTTTCTGTCATCCCCCAACATTATCACACCCCCACAGTGATACCACATAATTAAAAACAGAAAGTACCCGGGGTTTATGCTTCAGATCACGACATCATTTGAGTCATGTCAAATGCTGTACTGCTGTGCATGTAAAAAAAGATGTTTCGTGATCATAGTTACCTCAAAAAGTAATTATATTCAAATAATCTGATGTATCATGTGTTCGCAATTACAAAACCATGAATTTGACACATGACAATTTATAAGTTAAGAAATTATAAAATACTAAAAGATGTGAACAGCTTTTCTTCTGTTAAATGTTCTGTTGAAGAGTGCTCCACTTAGGTACTGATTTTTTCAGTTAACATAACCAGCCCACTGTATGGCATGCTAAATCATAAAGTACAAATCCAGGGAAAGTAATATCTTTATAGTTTCAAAACTTCTGGCAAACCAATACAGTATTCTAAATATAGTAACAAGCTGGGCATGGTAGCACACACCTGTAATTCCAGCACTTAGGAGGCTGAGGCAGGAGGATTTCCATGAGTTGGAAGCCAGTCTGGGCTACATAGTGAGTTCAAGGCCAGCCTGAACTACGTAGCAAGACCCTGCCTTAAAAAAGAAAACAACAATAAAAAAACATAAAAAGCCCCACTAAAATAAATAAATGCAGTAACACAATATTGCTACAGGTATTCGTGCTGCAGAGCTAAATCCCCAGCCCCTTCAGTACCAAATGAAAACACTGTAGTTTTGCGCTGAGCAAGTTATTTTTATACAAATTAGTGTCTTTTACAACTATACAGTTTCTCCTTTTAAAGTAAGTTGCCTGTGCACACTGTTCTTGTTTATAGCATCAAGGCCACTATGTGTGTGTCAGGGATGGGTCTGTCTGCTTTGTTCTAGAATTGTCCTAAATCCAGCTACAGTTCCAAGGTCCAAAAAGCTTCAACATTCTACCTTAAGAAGACTCAGGGTCATTACCAATTTCTTCTAAGTACTTTCTAAAGAATCATTGTATTATAGATAGCTAAGTTAGAAAAATAAGGCCTACATGTGTCCCCCAGGGATAAGCAATAACCTAAGATTATACTATAATTGGATCAACTAGTCCAGTAAAGCCCAGATAGGTAACAGTCACCCGGGTGGGTAACCATAGTATCCAGACCCATTCCTTCCCCAAAATGCCTTTGTTATTTCCGTGTACCCTTCTACATGACTACTTCCCTCTTGGATCAATATTAGATGACGGGGGGCTGGAGGTTTAGCTCAGCGGCATAAACGCCTGCCTTGGAAGCAGGCAGTCATGAGTTCAACCCCGGCACCGATAAAAAGGAAAAAGACAAAAAAAAAAAATATTAGATGACAGGCTATACTTGTAATACTATTGGTTGATTACCATTTGACCCATGTTGTACTCCCCTCATAGCTTTGTGCCCACTTCATGATTTTGCTCTATAAAACATTCTTAGAGAAGTAAGCTCAGTGGCAACCCGCATGCAGGTCCCCTTCTGTCTCTCAGGAGCTGTTTCCCATAAATCTTTCCCACTCTTAATCCCTATTGTTCCTTAGACTCAATTGTTCGATTTTGGGGGACACAAACTCAGCATATCTGACATCTAGGAGGTTAGGAGTTATATTTTCTCTTATGTCACACGTTCACAAAAATGTTGGACCTCTTACCGATAGGATTATTTCCAAAAGATGAAAAGTATTTCCAAAAGATGAGAAGTATAAAACAAAAAGAGGCCTTTATTCTGAGAACACGGAGAGAGATGACTGACACCCTGGCCACTGAAGTCCAGCGATCTCTCTCGCGGACACATGGCGTGGGGGAATATAAGTAGCCTAAGCTTAGGGCAGTGCCCTAGGGCCATTAGAGATGCACAGGTATTTCATTGGCACACGTTTGGCGCCAGGGGCAGATTCCTAAGGGTGGGGGGAGATAGAGTTACAGGTAAATCTCTAGGGGTGGGGGAGACAGGAGCTCCCTGATTCCGGCTGAGGTCTTTTCTGGCTACAGTGTCCCATCTGGGCCAAAACCCTTTCACTTACTATTAGTCACTTCAAGCCATACTAGCCCCAAATGATCCCTGTAATTTAGAACCCCTGTATCTTCTTGCTTTGAAGGAAACCATATAGGCTTACTCTAGATTATTAAAAAGATTCCACTTAAAATAGTTGTATTTTTAAAATAACAAATATATTGTCTGCCAGCAGAGACCTAGGGGACTTGATTTTGCATAACAAACTTCCTTATCATTTCTGTACAGAAGCTGCTGCCGCCATCCATGATATGCTTTCTCTTGCCAAAGCGATCCATTCTTCACACACAGCATGTAATTTATGTATTCCCCACTCCACTACTTGGAAGCTTTTATTAGCATTTCAAGACATCATGATTGTCATCAGACCTTCAAGTGAAAGCTGAGGCTGACTGCTTTCACTGTGAATATAGGTTCCTTTTTCAAAACAGTTTTTTCTGGGTTCTGAGGATGTAGTTCAAATATAAATCTCTCCATCCATATTTGTAAATGAAATACTGGATTTGGGTTCCATTGTTTTCTCTACAGAATCGACTACAGAGCATTTTTGCACTAATATTTTGGTTGTTCCTGCAACAATAGTAAACTTCACGATGAAAGGCAGCCCCTAGGCTGTGCTGAAAAGTGTGTAGCTGTGTAGTTTCCGGAGAGATTTACATCGGTCCAATTTGGTTCATAGGGTTTCTATATTTCTACATCAGAGCTATTTTAACAGTGTCCCATGGGTGGTTAAAGACGTATGCTTTAGACCAGGCATGGTGGCACTTGCCTGTGGTCATAGCACCTGGGAGGCTGAAGTCAGAGGATCACTGCAAGTTTGATGCCAGCCTCGGTTACATAGTGAGTTCAAGGTCAACCTGAACCACACAGCAAGACTATGTCTCTGAAAAAAAATGAAGACATATGCCCTGAAGTTCACAATTTCATGATGCCAGCAACCTACGAAACATTGAGACTGCACTAGGGGACAAATGAGAGTATACTGTTTTGATTGGTTTTATTGTTTTCTTCAGGGATGGTGAGGTCAACAGATCAGGAGACCAGTGCCCTTGATGATATTATATGTTACTCTGTTCTCAAGAGAAGGAGGTGCCTATGCTATGGGGGTTTACACCAGGTAAAACTACCATTGATCAGGAAGCAGAGGGAGAGGAAGTGTGGGGAGGAACTTTCGTTATGGTTTCTGCAGAAAGGAACGGGCAAGGCAGGGTAGGCAGGTTTAGAAATTCCTAGATTGAATAACTTTAATGGACTCAGGCATAGGAGTTTTTTCCCAACAGTATGGTAACCGACCCTGGGTGATTAACAGGTGGAGTCTGAGAGTCCAGTATCAGAGGGGATTTTTGGGCTGTGGGCTCGGAATTGGTAGGTTTGCATTTGAAAAATGCATAATAGTTTTGTATCTCTAAAGATAAGATAATCTAAGAGTTCCTTCAAGGTTGGCAAGGCCCCAGCATGGGAATGCAGAAAATAAAAGACACAGTGTATTAGTTGGCTTTCCATTACAGTGACAAATAATTGAGACCATCAACCGGATAAAAGAGGAAAGGTTTATTTGGCTCATAGTTTTGATGGCTTCAGGCCACTGCTTTTGGTCCTGTTGTGAGGCCACACATGGTGGCACAGCAGTTGATCATCCCCATGACAACTGGGAAGAAAGAGATAGAAAGTAGACAGTTTCCCACTACATCATTGAAGACATATCCCTAGTAATCTGACGTCTCTTGCTAGGCCTCCTAAAGATTCCACAATATTCCAGGAGTGCCAACCTGAGGACCAAGCCTTTAACACATGGGCTTCTGAGGAACATTTCAAATCCAAACTACAGTACTTAATATAGTGTGCCCAGCACTGAGCCGACACCTCTATTATTAGGTCTAGAATGTCTCCCTAAAGCCTCATGTGCTCAGAGGTGAGGCTTTTGGGATGCGATTGCATCATGGGTCACTACTCTCATCAGTGGATTAATTCACTGAAGAATCAATTCACAGCTAACTGTGTCCTTAGGGTACAGGGTATGACTGGAAGAAGTGGTCACTGGGGAAATGACCTAGAAAGGTGTATCTCCCTCCCCAGCTTCTCTCTTTGCTCTTTTGTGAGACGAGGTCTCACTGTGTACTTCAGGTTGAGCTTGAACTCACTATGTAACCCAGGCTGGCCTCGAACTTTCAGTGATCTATCTTCCTGCCTCAGTCTCCCAAATGCTGGAATTACAGGCAGGTGCCACCACGCCTGGCCTCCCTTTGCTCTTTGCTTCCTGACTGCCATAGGATGAGAAGTCCTCACCCAGACTCTTTCACCATACATTTTTGCCTTGGAGTCAAATGTTGACCTTGGACTGAAAATGTGAGCCAAAATAAAACTCTCCTTTAAGTTTTGGGTTTCAGCTATTGTGTCTTAGTGGCAAGAAATATCCAAGACCAAGACAATATGCTCTCTTTGCATCTTCACTCTCCTCTAGCTGCCAATGTGCTAATCTTTATTTTCCAGATGAGGAAACTAAGGTACACAAAGGAGGAGTAACTTGGCTGCAATCACACACTGAAGATAATGAGCTCGAATTCAAATCTAAGGTGTAAACCACCTCAGCTGTCCTCCATCTGGAAAATGAAAAGGACTTACATTGTCAAGGCTGGCAAGGATTTAACAGAACTACAACTGTCTTATGTTGCTGGTGTAAGTACAGGTTGGTGCAGCATGTTGGAGACCTTGGCAGTGTCCACTAAATCTAAATGTACACGTTTCTTACCTCCTGGCAGTTCCGCTGCTGGGTGGAAAATGAGAACACGGGTATACCAGAAGACACTGATAGGAGTGTTCACTGACAGGCATGTTCATTGGTCTTAGTCAGGACATAGAAAGCTCTCAGATGTCTAGTAACAAGAGAATGGATCAGCCAGTTGTGGTATCGTTACAAAATGGATTATACACAGCTGGGGAATGATTATGTATTCCCCAGCCTGTATTGTTGCCTGCATGTGGATGACTCTCATAATATTGGACAAAAGAAGCAGGCACACACCTTCACAAATATAGAACACACACTATCATTCTGATACAGAAAAACCAATATCAAATCAAATGGAAGACTTTGCACCAAGGAGCTAGAAGACAACTTGTTTATTATGCTAGCGGGCTGATGGAAATCTTAGTTCCAAATCATCAATACCAAAGCAGATCCTTGTTCAGTTTAAATACAATTTGCAAGCAGGAAGTACGAGGTGTTACTAGATTGGTTATATGGATTGAATTAAATCATACATTGTCAGGTAAACTGACTCTACATTAAAAGGAATTGTTTATCATAATGGAGGAACATTTTGGAGGTGAAGGAAGAGGATTCAAGCAAAACTAGCAGAGTTAAAAAGTATTTTTGACTGGTTACTTCATCCCAATCAAAGTCCTTGAAGCCAGTTAGGAGCAATATATTTTCTTAGGTAAGGGAAACATAAGCTGGACAAGTCAAATGGGCCCAGCATGTTATCAGAAGAAAAGCAGCTGAGCCCAGACTGTCAAGGCTGGCTGAATTCATCGGAGTGGCTATGTGACAAGGTACAGCCTAGGCAGAGGCTACTATTCATCTCTAGCTTGTGCTCTGAAATACCTGTAAGTTTGTTAGTCTACACGTGTGCCCTTACACTATAATTTTATCCCAACAATTCTATTTGTAGTAGAAATTCTGGAGTAGGTAAAATAATTCTAAAGTGATAGAAGGCAGAATAGTGGTTTCCTTGGACATTAACCTTTCCATCATTATAACGAAGGGTGTAAGACCTGAGATAAACATCTTATAAGTAGAAAAGGTTTATTTTGCTCACAGTCTGGAGGTTTCACGGTCAGTTGGCCTTTTTTCTCTTGGACCAAGTCTTTAACAATAGGCCTTTGAGAGACATTCTAGATTCAAGGTATAGTAGGGATAGAATATTACCCTAGAACAGTGAGGAAGAGTTGCCTCTGGAGACACACAAATTAACTTCTTCCTTTTTTTCCCCTTTCTTCTCTTTCTTTTGCTTCTTTTTCTTCTTTTAGTACTGGGAATGGCCTGAGCTACATCCTCAGCCCCGCCCCCCTCCCTTTTTTTTGAGGCGGGGTCTCACTAAGTCATTAAGCTGCCCGTGCTGCTCAAATTTGTAATCTTCTTGCCTCAGCCTCTCAGAGTGTGTGTGTGCCATCACGCCCGGCTGGAAATGTTCTAAGTCTTGATCCAGATGGAGATTACAGTGCTCTGTGTGTACACATGTATGTTATATAAAATCACTGACCTATTTTGTTTAAGGTTTGCATACTTCCCCATATTCTACTTGTACTTCCATACAAAAGTAGATTCTGGGGCCAGGGCTCTAGCTCAGTGGTATAGCATTTGCCCGGCATGTTTGAGACCCTGGGCTGATCCCCAGTGCTACAAAAACTAAAGCAGGTCTCAACCTCCTGCTATAATAGCTCTTAAGGATTTGCGAGTTTCTGCCCACCAGGACCTTGACATTTGGGAAGATGGGACCAGGCTATTGGCCCTAGCCACACCTCTCCTTCCTCAGTCAATGGTTAATTTGCATGCTTTTTTGTGGTCCAGCGGTCTTCTCAGTCCTGTGCCGCTACTCGCACGTGGAGCACAGTCCAGCAGAACATCTCCCTGCCTGTTTCTCTGCCTCTGGTCATGGCTTGTTCCCAGTGCCTGGTTCTCCTGCTGATGGGAGCCTTCCTGACAGGTGAGCCTTCCCATGGCCTGGCTGACCTTGGGGTGGAGTGGGGGATCGCACTGACCTGGGAAGGTCCCTGCAAAGAAGCAAATCAATAAGGACAAACAAGAAAGTCCTGGGAAAGGGACTGAGTTAGAGGGCAAACTGGCTCCAGGCAGTTCTGCCCCTGACCTAGGGCTAGTCACTTCCCTGGGTGGGCCTTGGTTTCTGCATTTGTTAATAAAATATTACTGAGGTCCTTTCAGACTCTTCCTTTGGGGTATCTAAGAAGAACAGAGCTTAACACTTTAATTTTTCACAGGGGAAACTCGCCTGGGCTGGTCCCTACTCCACAGGCCTAACCCTAAGAAAGTCCTTAGTGGCCAGTAGCCTGAGTCTGATCTGATGGGTCATACAGTCCAAGAGTCTCCTGGGGTTTTGTTAGCCTGTAGTCAGAATTTGTAAGGGTCATGAAATTCAAGGGGAAAGGTCTGCAGAGAGAGGGAGGAGGGGAGCAGGAGAATCCTGAGTGCGAATCCTATGTTTAAGTGAACATGGAGCCTTGGGAACTGGGGTCACTGACTCCAAAGCACCCACTCACAAAGGGAAACAGAGGCCTAGAAAGGGTAACCTGAGTCACATGGAACCAGATTTCCTGTGCCAATCCCATTGCATAGGGCTATGGAAGTGGGTATCCCCTTATAGTCCTTGACCAAGTCGTCCTAGGCAGGGGCAGGATGGAAAGGACCCAGGCCTGGGCTCAGTGGGTTTGTATCTCTCAATCTCCCAACCAGCCCTGGCCCAGCCGGATGCACTGCTGGTCTTTCCAGGCCAAGTGGCTCAACTCTCCTGCACACTCATCCCCCAGCATGCCAGCATTGCAGACTATGGAGTATCCTGGTACCAGCAGCGGGCAGGTAGTGCCCCCCGCTACCTTCTCTACTACAATTCGGAGGAGGACTTCCACCGGCCTGATGATATTCCTGATCGATTCTCAGCTGCCAAGGATGCAGCCCACAATGCTTGCATCCTGACCATCAGCCCAGTGCAGCCTGAGGATGACGCAGATTACTACTGCTCTGTTGGCTACAGCTCTGATCCCCAGGGGTGAAGCATGGGATAAATGTTCCAGTCTGCCTCCTATTTCTGCCCCTGAACTTGGATACCCTCTCTCTGATCCTTGCTTTTCTTCTCTGTATAGTAGGTTAATAAAATTCAACATTATTATGAAAACCATGAGTTTTTGACTGAAAAACAAAAAAAAGACTGTAGTTGGTCTGGGAGTGTGTGTGGGATTGTTGCTAAAGAGGAAGCACCTGAGACCCTTGGGGAGTGGCCCAGCCTTACTCTTGGCCCCCAGAGGCTCAGCCTACTGGTCTGTTCTTCCGGTGACCCGAGGCACTAGATGGGGAGAAAAAGGAACCAGCCCTTTTTGCCCCCAGTTCTGCATGGCTGACTGTCCAACGCTCACACAGTCTGGGGAGGCTGGTCCCCAAAAAGCCAATGTTACTCACTTATGAAGGAGCAGCCCCTGCCTCCCACATGGAGTCTGTGCAAAGGCCCCATGGGTCACTGATGCAGCAGGGAGGCAGGTGTGTGTCGGTGGCATGGGGCATGGAGGGAACTGAGAGGCACTTGAGGGCCAGGGCAGACTGTGCAGAAGAAAAGTGGGCAGATACCTGGGTAACATCCCTCTCTACCTGTGTGTTCTGTTGGTCTCGTGTGATTCGGTTGATATCTCTTGGAAGCTTTTTGACAGGATGGGTGGCCACACCTGAGCTGCCATGGGTGGAGGGGCAGAGAAATGGATGGATGGGCAAGTCTTACCCTCAGAGGTGGAGCTGTGTCTGGAACTGGGGCATGTGTGGCTTCCAAAGGCAGGAAGTCCTGGGATAGATCCCTAGAAGCACAAAAACAAAACAAGCTCCCCTTCCTTCCTTTCTGGTGTCCCTAAGAGGCGCCACATGTGTGGAGTTCAGCATCTTGACACAGAAATTAGAGGCTCCAGGGTCCAGGCTACACTCCCAGCCACACCCCCAATCTGTCTCTGTGGGAGTAGGGAGGGGAAAGAGGACTACGGTACCCTCGAGAGAAGGAGAATGCAAAGAGGACTTCTTGAGAACTCTGGGGGTCGTTTCCTCTTCTCAAAACATCAGACTCCTGGATGGGTGGCGCCTGTCTCGCACTTAGACGCCGCGCAGGGGCAGCAGGTGCCCGCTTTTCCTGGCCTCAGTTTTTCTTCTGCACTCCGGCCAACAGTGGCGCAGCTCTGTTTTTCCCACGGCGGCGAGTCACTCCTCTCATCAGAGAGCCTTTTCTGATCCGATTCCTTTGCCCTAGCTTCTGGGTTGTTAAGAGCCGTCCGCACTAAGGCGGTGGGACCACCGAGATGCCAGGACCTCCGCACGGCGTAGAGCGGTCCCGGAAGTGCCCGCAGGCCGGGGGCGGGACTCCAGGTTCTCAGCGGACCCAGGGCTGCGCGTCAGCTGCAGCCGCAGAGCGAGGCCGCGACGACCGCGGGTTGGAGCTGCTCAGGTGCAGCCCCGCCCCGCCCGTCCGCGGCCCCGCCCCAGGCCAGGTGCACCGCCCCGCCCCGGCTCAGGTGAGTGGCAGCGAGTCCGCCAGTGTGACCTGAGTACGACTGACCACCTGTCCCTCTGGTAGCCCCTCTTAGGGCTGGCTCCAATTGATGGGAAGTGTGTAGGCGCGGCGCGTCTTCAGCCAGGCAGCGTGTGCGGGTCTACGGCTGGGCGTGTCTCTAGCCAGGAGACCCTGACCACACTGAGGGTTTGCCCAGTGCCCGGGCCGTGGAGGGGCACCCTGGAAGGTGGGTGACTGATGCAGGAAGAGTTGGAGAAGGCCCCTAGAGAGATAGGAAACATAGGGTTCCAGATCTATCGGTTTTTCATTCAAAAACACCTAACACATTGGAACAGATTAAATGATTACCAGGTTTTTTATGCATAATAGAGTCTTAAGCATGTAGGGGCTACCACATATTGGACATGGAAAATCTGTAAGGAGAGAACGTGGGAAATACCCGGATGTAACAGGTGGGTGGAGGAAGATTTGCATTCTACACATACCAAGAAGGAGGGATCAGAGGGCATGAAGATTGAGAAGAAAACTTTCAGAAACCACGGGAATAAAGTGGGATCAGGGTCGGGGAGCAGTAGAGGCAAGCTCAAAACTTGTGACATCCAGGTAGGCAGTGTGGATTATTCAAAGACGTATTGTCATGTCTTCCAGTTTTTTTTTAAAGACAATGCAAGAAACCTACTGCGTTTTAAAATTGGCAACTAAGGAAAAACTCTTTGAGAACCAAACCAAACGTGTCTATGTGGCAGGATCCCCATGCTGCCAGTTTGCAATTTCTGAAATGTCCCGTGTGAAAAAGGAGATATTGGTGAGCAATGCCAAATCGATTGGGAAAGTGAGGACCAAGAAGAAAGGGATTTGGCAGTAAAGAGGTCATTGGATGCCAGCACTGCATGCTGAGGTCCAAGCTGAAATTGGAAACTTGAAATCTGTCATGATGCTGCGCATAGCGGTATGATTTGGCTGGCCAGGAATGAACATCTAGGGGGATTGGCAGAGAAGATCAGAAGTCAGTAACTGGTTGCCACAAGCAGGCACAGAACATGACACTGGCAGGCAAGTTGAAGAGAAACTCACAGTTGGACCTACTGAGAGAGAGTGTGTAGGACAACGAAGGGATGGGACTAGAAGATGAGAAGCTGGGTGAAAATGGAAGATTATTGGACTCCAAGTTGAAAAGCATAGGCTGAGCTGGGTATGGTGGTACCTGTAATTCTAGCACTTGGGAGGCTGAAGCAGGAGGATCACTGCAAGTTCAAGGCCAGCCTGGGCTACATAGTGAGTTCAAGGACAGTCTTCAACTCAGAGAGATGCTTTTCAAATAAATAAGTAAATGAGACATGCATATGAACTTCTTTTTTTAATGCATATGAACTTCTGGTGCTGCCCAGTACACAGTAGGTACTCATAAACATGACGAGTTGTTATTATGATCGTATCACTTGAGGACTTCTCTTTTATCTAGCACAGAAGCTTCTGAATGGTGCTCTGAGCACCTTCCTCAGCAGTCACTATTGCAGAATGGAGAGCTGAATAGGTTCTAGCATCTTTCCTTGCCTCTGTGAAAACAGACCCCTTTCCACTGGAACAGTGCTGTTTTTATTTTTTACATGTCCTAAACAATTAGTTGACAAAAAAGAAAAAAGTGTAAGAGTTATAGCATAGAGGGCTGGGGATTTAGCTCAGCAGCATAAGCACCTGCCTTATAAGCAGGCAGTCGTGTGTTCAATCCCCAGTACCAATAAAAAAAAAAAAGAAAGAAAAAAGAATTATAGCATAGAAACAAATGGCTTTTCCTCCCTTTGATCATTTAACAGTGCTACATTGAGATTATGCTGTTGTGTTGGGGACTGGGAATTCCACAATTGAAGGAGCACAGAATTTTCTCTTAGAGATCTGGGAGACTAATTTTGGCGACAGTCTTGTAAATATGCAGGATGGTGAGTGCTGTGACAGGGTACAACCAATACCTCACCCCACCAAGATGGCCACGAGTCTGCGAATGCAGAGGCTAAGGGACATTTGGGTCCAGTATGGAAAGATGAGCGGGCTGCAGTCTGAGAGCAGGGGGAAGAACCTTTTAGGAGAAGACAAATCAGTGGAAATGAATTATTGAGCTAGGAGATTAGTGTGTAGGGAACGGGGACTGGAGGGGTTGGGTATGAAGGAACATGGGAAGGATTTGAGCTGCTGCAAGATCCCAAGAAGGAAATACAAGATCAAGCTTGTGTTTGGGTGTTTGACTTTGGTCTCAGTTGGAGATAGGCAGCCAGTTAAGAGGTGATTTTTGAAAAAATCTTGGGGAGTTGCACTGAATCCTGAGCTGCACAGTGACAGTGAGGACAGAGCATAGACATGCCCTGCATTTGGTTTCAGGAAGCAGACAGGCCAGGTTGGGTTGGGTGAGGGTGAGAGGGTCTAGGCTGATGCTGAAGGTGGCACTGCTGTACCCTGTCTTTCCCCAAAATCCCACCACCAGCATCTTCTAGTCACCAGAGGCTTGCCCCCTTTCCACAGTGGCTCCACTTCCTGTTTCTGCCCACCTTTGTGAACACTCATTCTGAGTCTAGACTTCCTAATGTGGCACTTGATTTTGATTTTGTCTCTTTGTCTTCTGGTTGTTTCTAGTAAATGAAATTTGACTCTATTTGAGATTATATCAAGGCCAAGGCTCTTATACTATATTCTTTTGGTCTTTTTTTTTCTTTCTTACTTTTTTTTTTGTGCTGTACTGGGAATTAAACCCAGGGGCTGTGCACTAAGCTACATCCCCAGACCTTTTTATTTATTTTTTATTTTTATTTTTTTGAGACAGGGTCTCAATACAGATCAGGCTGGCCTTGAACTCACTTTGTAGCCTGGGCTGGCTTGAACTCGAGTTGATCCTCCTGCCTCCGACTCCCCAGTGCTGGGATTACAGGTGTGCGCCACCACACTTGGCTTTGTTTTGTTTTTTTGAGACGGGTTTTGCTGTGTAGCTCAGGCTGGCCTTAGATTTGCAGCGATCCACCTGCCTCAGCCTCCTGAAAGCTGGGATCATAAGCAGGTGCCACCATTCCCCATTTAGACTGTTTATTTTTTGAGACAGGTGTTGTTAAACAGCTAAATTGCTCAGACTGGGATTGAATCTGCAGTGTTCCTGCCTTAGCCTCCCTGCTGAGGTTATAGGTATACGCTACCATGTCCAATTCATGTGTTCTTTTCTGCCGTAAATTCTAACATGGAAGGAGGCATCTGTGCGATCCTTGAGTTACTGACTTGACAACATCCCTTGTTTTATTTTCAGGTTATGAGAACAGTGAATGGAGCTCAAAGAAGAGTGTTTTTAAAGACCTAGTCATTGGGATTCAGATTCACAATGGAGGTTCCCCCAGCAACCAAGTTTAGTGAGACCTTTGTGTTTGAGGACAGGTTAGAAACACAGCAAGAATTTTTCCCAGAGGAAGACCTGGGAGACCCTTTTCTTCAGGAAAGAGGTTTGGAACAAATGGCTGTTATTTACAAGGAGATCCCTCTTGGGGAGCAAGACTTGGAACGTGATGATTACGAGGGGAATTTCAGCCTCTGTTCAAGCCCTGTGCAGCCTCAGAGTATCCTACCAGGGGCCAGACTCCAGGACGAGGAGATATTTGGCCCAGCCTTTCTCGAGAAACCCGACATCAGCGTGTGTCAGATCCTCCATGGCGAAGAGTGCAGCCCACGAGCTCATGAAGAAGCAGGCAGGGAGGACGTGGGACCTAATGCACCTCACAGAACCCCACAACCAGTGAAGCCCTATGCATGTCATGAGTGTGGCAAGGCCTTCAGCCAGAGCTCACACCTTCTGCGACACTTGGTCATCCACACTGGGGAGAAGCCCTATGAGTGCTGTGAGTGTGGCAAGGCCTTCAGCCAGAGCTCTCATCTCCTGCGCCATCAGATCATCCACACCGGCGAGAAGCCCTATGAGTGCCGGGAGTGCGGGAAGGCCTTCCGCCAGAGCTCAGCTCTCTCGCAACACCAGAAAATCCACACTGGGAAGAGGCCCTATGAGTGTAGGGAGTGCGGGAAGGATTTCAGCCGGAGCTCCAGCCTCCGCAAACATGAGCGAATTCATACAGGAGAGAGACCTTATCAGTGTAAGGAATGTGGGAAATCCTTCAACCAGAGTTCAGGCCTGAGCCAGCATCGGAAAATCCACACCCTAAAGAAACCCCACGAATGTGATCTCTGTGGAAAAGCCTTTTGTCATAGGTCCCACCTCATCCGGCACCAGCGGATTCACACAGGGAAGAAACCTTACAAATGTGAAGAGTGCGGAAAAGCCTTCAGCCAGAGCTCCAACCTCATTGAACATTGGAAGACCCACACTGGTGAAAAGCCCTACAAGTGTCATAAGTGTGGGAAGGCTTTCAGCCAGAGCTCCTCGCTGATAGAGCACCAGCGGATCCACACTGGGGAGAAGCCCTATGAGTGCTCTCAGTGCGGCAAGGCTTTCTGCCACAGCTCTGCGCTGATTCAGCACCAGCGGATCCACACCGGCAAGAAGCCCTATGTCTGTGAGTGCGGCAAAGCCTTCAGGCACAGGTCAGCTCTCATCGAACATTATAAAACGCACACCAGAGAGAAGCCCTATGAGTGCAATCTGTGTGGCAAATCCTTCCGAGGGAGCTCACACCTGATCCGGCATCAAAAGATCCATGGTGAGGAAAATCTCTAGAAGGAGAAGCCCCGTCATGGAAGCTTTTGCTAGATGGAGTCCATATCCCTATCACTTTGTCACTGAGACAACACCTACTTCTCTGATAACCTTGCAGGATGGACACCCTCCAACGGGGCCCTCCTGAGCATCCCCGATACCAGGAAGCTCCGTGTGGCACTGTGGTCTCTCCCAATTTCCTGGGTAGAAGAGAAGGGGCACAGGGGGAGGGGAGCCCTTAAGAGAGCTGGCTTTGAGCTTTCTTAGTCTCCCATTTGACTCTCAAGCCTGCAGATGAGATTCTGTTTTTCTCTGTCTCTGCTCTCTTTAAGAGTCTAGAAGATGTCAAGAGGCAGAAAGTAGAGATAAACCCAGGAAATTTTAGATTTACTCTTTAAATCAGGTAGCAGACTGGCACTTTCAGAAGACAGAAAACATATTCATAGTCCAAGTCAAGTCAGTCAAAGAAAGTAAATTCAAAAGTAGATACGAAAGGGGCAAAATAGAATTCTCTGCCTGAGTTAGGCATTGATGGTAATAAGCAAAACATGTTACCAAGCCAGAGAAGGGTCCAAAAAGAATAGTTTGGGGTTGGTGAGAGTGGTGATGCCCTGGGCATGGTCTCTTAACCCTCTGGTTACCCTGAGAGTGGAGTCTTTCAATGGATCTATCGCAAGGGGGCAGAGGTTTGGCCCTGTTGCGATCACAGGATGTTTGACACCCGTGACTCAGCTGGGTGCTGGGTACTGATGCCCTCCAGGAACAACAACTCCCTGAGGCCTGGTGCTCCAAGAGCACAGTGTGCCTTGGATGCCAGCATGGCCCACTTCGGGTCCGGCAGTTACACAGATTCCTGTCTTTGCTCTTTGGTGTTGGGATTTGGGAAGCAGGTGGTACGGAGGAGGAAGCCAAGGTTCAATCAGAAAGTCTGATTTCGGGGCTGGGGATTTAGCTCAGCGGTATAAGCACCTGCCTTGCGAGCAAGCAGTTGTGAGTTCGATCCCCGGTACCGATAAAAAGGAAAAAGACAAAAAAAAAAAAAAAAAAAAAAAAAAAGAAGGTCTGATTTCAATCATTATTTTCCTAGTCTGCAAAGAGTGGGTTTCCTGTATAGAATGCTTTCCTGAGGCATTCTGACAAATGTGGTTTTTAAAACTTCCCAAGTGTGCTTTTTAGAAAAATTTCATCTGGTTATCCATAAAGCAGAGCTCAAACTAAATTTCTTTCATGGTCTCCCTACTTCATCCATGTCAATCAGATTAACATGTGTAATTCTAAAAAAAAGTCAGGGCTCAAAATCCAGTGCTGCCCTCTCCTATTCGTTTGACCTAGGCCCCACAACTTCCTAGGGCTGTTTCCCCATCGGAGTGATGAGACCTATTCTAAGGGCTTCTCTCAAGGCTTCTCTGTAGAATGGGGCCACCCTTAAAAGGGCAGCTGAGCAATCATGGGTGGCGGCTGAGAATGGAGATCCTGAGCGAGCCCTCTTCTACCCTGACGCAGGTTATCTGCAGACCATAGAAGGGTCCAACACACTGATGTGTCCTCCTAGACTCTCCCACTGCAATGGTGTCATCCATGCTCCCGTGAACTTTCCTACCTTCCTAACTGTAGCTCACCTGGGGGTTAAGAAGTGCCATGTCCCACCTTGACCAATTGAATCACCAGTGGTAGATGCCTGGTATGTTTCTGAAGCTCCCTAGGTAGTATAAGTTACAGCATGTGGCCAAGCATTGAGCCCCGCCCAAGCTGGGCTTTCACATAGCTAGCTCCTACAGCTTCCTGTGTCAGTCTGTTTACTTTGACAGAGCAGAGCTTGAAGATTGTTCTCTCACTCTCCTGACACCATCCTTGGGCCCTGGGAACAGGCTAGGCAGTGCCAATTGTCTTGCTAAGAGCATTCATCCCATGCCAGAGATCTCTTTTTGTAGTGTTGGAAATTGAACCCAGGGCCTTGCACATGCTAGGCAAGAGCTCTACAGAGCTACGTTCCCTGCCCTGTGGGGAATCTCTAGTACTGCCCAGACTCCTCAAAGGTAGGAGAGAGACAGTCAGGGATGTTTTAAAGTTTTCCAAGAGTTTATGTTTGAATCACATGACTGTATCATGGTGATATGGCCATTTCAGCTGGTCAGAAACATGGTGTGGTATATAGTTTTGATGAGTAAAACACAAAAAGCCATATTTATTCCTAAATGAGGCCCAGTAGACCAGAGATTTCGTTTTGAGGCAGGGTCTTGCTATGTAGTTCAAACTGACCTTGAATTTGTGGCAATCCTCCTGCCTCAGTCTCTTGAGTGCTGGGATTACAGATGTGTGCTACCACACCCAGTTTAGGCCTGAAATTTTGAATCATGGGCTAGAGAGATCCCAGTGGGAGTCTTGGTTTCTTCCAGCAGCCCGCTGTCCCTCAGAACCCACTGTATGGCCAGCTGGATTGTGGAATCCCAGGACAGGATAGGTGGCCCTGGGCACTGTTGCAGGCAGCTAATAAGAAGTTCTCAGTCGTGTGTCAAGAGTCAAAAGGGAATGCCACGACTCAACTGGGATAGTAGGTACCGTTAGGTAGGGCCCCCAGAACATCTACCTCTTTGGCCCTCGCCCCATTCTGTCTTGGGTAGGCCTGTCCTTATCCAGCAAGCATCTGTCACCTACCTTGGGGCTTCTCCTCCTTGCCCTTTCTGCACACCCAGTCAAATTGATTTTTTTTGGTCCTGGGGGTACAACTCAGAGGCTCTATACCATGCTGAGCAACATCCCCAACCCCTTTTAACATCTTCCTATAAGTTGCCCAGGCTGACCTCAGATTTGTGATGCTCCTGTCCTGACCTCCTGAGTTGCTGGGATTTTGGGGATGTGCCACTGTACCAGCGCAAGTTGATTTTTAAAAATTTTTTGTCACTACTATTTTTTTGTCACTACTATTTTTTTTTTTCTGTCAGTTAAACCCAAAGCCTTCTCACACACTACATCCTCATCCTTTTTATTTTGAGACAGGGTCTGACTAAGTCACTAAATTGCCCAGGCTGGACTTAAACTTGTGATCCTTGACTCTGGTTCCCAGAATGCTGAGGTTATACTGCTGTGCCATCACACCCAGCGCTGATTTTTACAGCATCACTTTGCACAGGTCAGTACTCTGCTTAAAGCCAACGTTCAGGAGTTGGCTGCGTGTAGGCTCTGCTTCGGCCAATCTGGCTCATTCCCTGTGCAGGAGGAACATGAACGTAGGGGTCGGGGCGGCCCCTGCTAGAGGCCGTGTCTGTCTGTGCCTGGCTTCTTACGATTCACTGGACGCTGTTTTCACCTTTTGCAATGTGCACTTTCTGCCTCCTCCTCTTCACCCTCTGCCTTCTCTTCCCTCCCATTTCTTCTTCTTACATAATATGGGGATAAAGACTGCTCCCTCCTCCCAGGATTAACAGATTCTTACATAAAAATTGTTAAGAGCAGGTACTTTTTTTGGGAAATATGAGCAGAGCCTACTTTTATTTAAACTCTTTCAGTCTTACTGTATATTTTTAAAAGAGATCTCATTTAGATTCAGTGTAAAATTATAAAAGATAGTCTCTGGTAATATTTTGTTTTGTTTGCAGCTCTGGGGATGGAATCCAGGGCATTAAGCATACTAGACAAGCATTCAGCCCCTGGCCTACACTCTGACTCTTTACCATCTTTTAGTTGAATTGTTTGCTTTTGTTTTTACTATTTCACATTTTTTCCTTTATCCAGCAGTGCTTTACTTAGATGCATTTGAGTTTTATAAAATGCCAACTCTTGATTTTTGTTTACTAATCTAAATGTTTTGTTAAAATGTATCTGCTTCCCCCTTTTGGTGTCATACTTTTTTATCGGTACCAGGGATTGAACTCACGGCCATGCGCTTGCAAAGCAGGCACTTATGCTGCTGAGCTGAATCCCCAGCCTCAATACTTTTTAAGATTATTTAGAAATAGTTAAGCATATTTTTAGAATTGCTAGTGAATGTAGATATTTTGGTTTATAGTTTTTTCCTTACATAGAGCTTTGTCTGGTTTTCATAAATTTTCACATGTTTTTTGCTTGTTTTTATAGTCCTAGGAATTTCCTTTTGGCCCATGTGTTGTTTTTTAATATTTACAAGGGATGAATGCTTAGGTCAATGCCGCTTACTTCTAGTACTATGGTATCAACATTTCCAGATGTCTATGGAACTTTTTTGAGCCAGGATACATTATCAACTTTGTTAACTCAATTGCTTAAATTACTTAATCATGCACTAACTTCCCTTTATTTCAAAGTTCTTAACCTGGGATCTAAAGATTGCCTTGGGTTAAGCGTATAGGGATTTTAGGGCGTGTGGATGCATAGGTGTGGAGCAAGATGTGTGAATTTATGCATGCACGAATGGGGAGGCCTGTCCCATTGATATTTTTGTAAGGGCTTTGTGACCCCAGAATGGTTAACACTTACCTGATCTAATGTCTGAGTTTATATGTTTGTCCTTTTGTTTGTTCCTATTTTATTTTTATATTATTATTGTTATGATTTTGTAGTTGGTCTTACTGTGTTGCCCAGGTTGCCCTTGAACTTCTGGGCTCAAGTGATCCTCCTGCCTCAGCCTCCTAAGTAACTGGGACTATCAGCATGAGGCCACTAGGTACGGCTTCTGTTTCACTTTCAATATCTGTTTCTCTTACTTTTTTTTGGTCCTGGGATTAAATTTATAACTTTTCGCTTGCCAGGCAGGCCACCAAGCTGAACCCCCAAACTCTCTTTTTCATACAGGTTGCTGTGTTGATACAGTTCTCGCAAAAAGTCTTTGCAAAACAGGCAGGGTATAAGTCAATGTGAAACTGTGGAACATATATATTAATAGTGATATATTGGAAGACTGTGCCTTTTGGTACCCCCTTTTGCTTCTTAATGCTTCTAGCTTAAGCTTCTCTTTTCCAAATATAATTAAAACCTCTCGCTTTTCTTGCGTTTAGCTCAGCCTCTGATTTTTTAAATTGTGTGTATATTTTGCTATTTATCTGTAACTTATAAGCAGTGAATTGTCAGATTTCATTTTCTGATTCTTTGTATTTTTCTTGTTACATAAAATTATGTTACTAATGTTATTGTTGAGCAAGGCATTTATTTTAACTTTACTATATTAACTCCTTTAACCCAAAAAAGGCCATGCTTATTTCCTACCCGTCTCTATGGGTTACTAACTACGTACGGAGCGTCATTTCTGGGTGGACTAGAGGTCTGACATTGGACTCACCTGCTCCTCCTCATCTCTGTTTCTCACTGTTTTTGGGCTCCTCACATCATAACCTGTGCTTCAGTGTCCTTAGCTGTAACTTGGAGGAATGAGGCATCTCGCAGCCTCGTGGGGCTCACAGGTGTAAGGCGTACCAACATATTTCACACTGTTGGTGTTTTGAAGTTTGTGTGTGTGTGATACTTGGGTTCAAACCCAGGATCTTATGCACGCTAAGTATACATTCTACCACTCAGCTACACCCTGAGACCTAAGGTATTTCTTAAAATTTCTGTTCTTAATCACTCTCGAAGTTCTCTCAGCGTAACGTAGAATGTTACATTATGCCCTGCTTTTTAGAAAACACTGCCAGATATAGCAAAGAACAGTGATAACAGATCCATCCCATCTTCCCTGAGTGAACATGTCGAGTCCTTTGATTTCCTGATCCCGGTGTCTGTCCCTGGCCAGTCCTCTCCATGTCAATCTCCCTCACACCCGCAAGACACTGCTTGTGTCTGCTTGGGGGGGGGGGTTGAGGGTGGGAAGAGGGCTTACCACTGCAAAGGCTCAAGATGGTCACTTTTGGCCACTATGGTTACAGATTGGGGAACTGAAGTTGGATGAGTTGCTCAAGGTCTGAAATGCATCCACCCCACAGCCAAGGGGAACAATTCTGGATATTATGCCGGAGCCTCAGCCATGTGCAACCAAGACTTCTCAATGGGGTTCAGTCATCAGGGGCCTCGGTGAAAACCAAGTGGCCCCGGTCCACTCAGAGTTGCTTGGTGCTTGGGGACAAGTGGATTTCCACCAATACCGTATAAGCAGGATGGATTGATTTTCTGGGAATGGGGAAAGAAGGCCTTTTCTTCTGGGAGGACTACCCAATCTTTAGTATCTGGTAGCAAGTAAAGTTGTCTGGTGAGTGGGAGGTTGGGGTACAAGGTGGTACAGGATCTTGTCCCAAGATGCCTTGCGGGGACTGCCCCTTCTGCACCACAAAGGCCAAACACTTGGCGTTATCTTCTGAATGCTGGGGGTGGGGCAGTGTTGGAGACCCTCTGAGGTTCCCTGGGCTCAACTGTTCTTTGCTTTTTCTGCAGTCTGTTACAGTTACTGCAGTCGGGTGGCTTTGTCATGCCTCCCTCCTGGTGGTTGGACATGAGGGGAAGTCTAGAGCGCCACCTGGTGGCGGTCTGTGACCATTTGAAAGGCACTTGGGAGATCCACACCTGAGGCTTGTTGAATTCCCTTCTCTTCTTTCTCCTCTTCTTCTCTCCTCCTTTTCTCTCAACGTCCCTCATCTTCTTTCTCTCTCCACCTCCCTCGTCTTCCTCCTCCTCCTCCTTCTTCCTTTCCTCCCTCCCCCCGCTCTTTTTCTGGCTGGCTTTAAAACCCTGCGCTCCTTTGTCACTGCCTGTAGCCAGGCTAACTTGTCCTTCCCCTGGAGATGGCCAGAAGCATCTTAATGTCTCTCTACTCATCTTCCTTTCTGCCTGACTGGGCCTGAAGGGCAAGATCTGCAGGTGTCACTGCGTACTGAATCCCTGCTGCCCTCCGCCAGGATTTGCTGTGTGAACCAGCAGCTTTTCCCTCTTCTACATCCACAGGATGCATCTCAGGTCTCCTATTGCTTGCCTTTTTCTCCAGGCTTTTGCTCTCATGCCAGAGACTAGACTCCCTTGCCTGTCTGGCCTCCTCATTTATCCTTTTCCCCCAGTCCTGCTCCTGCTTATCTCCCGGCACCACCTCCTCCTCTCATTTGTGCCCACCTTAGTTGAAGCTGCTATCATCTCTCTGCTATCATCTCTCTCAGTCTCCTCCCCAACCCAATTTTCCATCTTTTTTCCCCTTTTTGTAGCCTGAGCAATCTTCCCTTTCTGCAAGTCTGATGGGGTCACCCATCCCTCAAAACATCCCCTTAAATTTTTGGGCATCTCTGTTTCCGGATCAATCTGCAAGTCCCTTCTGGTTTGAACCTACTCTGCCCCACCCCAAGTCCTCCAAGCTCCAGCCACATAGAGGTACTGTGTTCCCTGAGCTTGCCTTCCTGTGGCGGGAAGGATGCCCTTTGAGAAGCTCCACTCTTGGCCATTGAAGGACCATGGGGTAAAAGTGGAGGTGGGGGCCCAGTCCCAGGCTCGCTACCCTGAGGAGGCCTGGTGCCCTTCACATGCACCCTCCTCTCGTCCTGTGCTGAATTCTGGGTGTCAGGTGGATTTGAACCAAGGAGGAAGCCAGTACTGTGGCTAGTGGAGAGTGGGAGAGTACAGAAGGTCCAACCCTATTTTTTTTGTATTATGCTTTTCTGTTGTCACTGAAACATTTAACACATTTACACTTTTTCTTTTTTTTTTTTTTTTCATTTACACCTTTTCTAAAAACAAATTTCCCCAAGCACTCCAAACATGATTTTCTCTGAGCCCACGTTCTCTAAAAGCTGGTTCCCAGCCACAAGACCCCAGGCCTAACCAGACCCTCACAATGGGCAAGGTTCGCCTCCCCATTGTTTTTTTCCTCACTCACGGGGTCAGGGGACCCAGAAGCCCAGCTCACAGAAGAGTAGGGTGGGAGGAGCTTGCAGTTAATTTCAAGATGACAACAGGACACCCTGTCATTTCGCTTTCTCAGTGGAAGAGGCTCAGGAGCTCACTTTCCCATACTACATGGCAAAAGGGAGTAAAAGAGAGGGAAAGGAAAGACCTGATAGATCTACTGACACAGATAAAAACAGGACAGGGGACAGTGCCCTCCCGGCCTGCCTCGGAAGGGGGTGCTGTCCCTCACGGTGTGGTTTTGACGTTAAGGCAAGAGACCAGCAGGCGGTGCCTTGAGCCTGATGGGCTGAGCTGGGGCAGCAGGATCACAAAACCCCGTCTGGTGCTCGTGTGTCTGTCTCCTTCTCCTTGTCATGGCTGTTCTGCAAACCCCAAGCCCCGTTCCACCCAGGAGAGCAAAACTCCAGCTGTTGAGACTCCAGAAAGCTGCGCTTCGGGGACTCCTGTCTGTGCATGGATGCTCCCCGATTTTTACACATCTCTGTAATTAATGACATAATCATGAGGGAAAAAAGAGAATGTTTGAACAAGGCAGTTAATTTAATGGCCTCCATGGACCAAAATAAGATCTAAGTGCAAAAGTGTACATTCTTTTCAAGCATACAGGGTATGAGCAAAATCTACAGTGAATGATTAAATTAAAAATATATTACAGTAAAATACATATCAAAGTATTTCCTGTGTCTCCTTGCTTCAGATATACATATCCCATAATTTTTGCCACTTTGTTGTTTTTTCGAGACAAGATCTTACTATGTAGTTCAGGCTGGCCTTGAACTTGAGTTCCTCCTGTCTCAGCCTCCAGAGTGCTAGGAATTATAGGCGTGTGCCACCACTCCTGGTGTGTCTGCAACTTTTGAAGCAATTCTGGAAGTTCTTTTTAATGCCTTTACAAGGTTTACTAAAAATTGGTAAATGCGGCTACCAACTGCTCTCCAACAGAAAGGAAGGCCCACAAAAGCATTACAGTGTGTCCTCACCCACCTTAGTCATCAGAGCTGGCATTGCGGGACTTCCAGTTCCTCCCCAAAGTCAAAACGACCACGAAAGGTGAACATTTTGTAATAATGCTTTTTTTTTTTTTTTTTTTTTGGTCTTTTTTGTTTTTACTGGTACCAGGGATCGAACTCATGACTGCCTGCTTACAAGGCAGGCACTTATGCCACTGAGCTAAATCCCCAGCCTCTAAGATGAACATTTTGAATTAGTTCAGGGCACCAAGGCAACCATGGCTGCGCAACTAAAGCCATGAAGATTTCCAGAGCTGCTTGAGAAAATGGTAGGAACAATGGCCTATGTCTGTGAAATGAGGAGGGTATGTGTGTGTTATGTGATAAATTTTTAAAAAGTTAAACAAGAATAAGAAGTGCACGTATGCTGGGCTGAAGGGCTGAAGTACAGATTATGCCTGGGGTGCAATGGAATGATGCTAGAAATCAGAGTGAAGACACAGCCTGACAACCATCATGCGCTGCCACTTCACCCCTAGCCAGGATTTAGGGGTCCAGAAATCCACTAGCAAGTTTGCTTCCCAACCAGGCAACTTTGGAGCCTGGTGGTTTAAATGTTTGAGTTCCTCGAAGAGGAATGCTTCCACCAGGGCATGGTAAGAGCATACGCTTTGGACCCGCTGGCTTCTCATGCCAGATAACAAGAGGTGGATGGAGCTTGACTCCCAGAGAGATGGAGCTGTCATGCAGTGGGGACTGAAGGGATACGTTGGGAGCACTGAGCACCCCAGGGGTAGTGGCTGCTGCCAATAACGACTGTTTATTTCAGGGAGGAGCAGGAGCAGTTTAGGTCCCCAGCAATCAAACAGCCCTGATCTGCAGAGCTGTCTGCTGCAGGCAGAGAGAATCCAGAGCAGCTGCGATCACAGGAGCAGTCACTGAAAGGGGATTGTAGTATTTATGGCTACTGAATCTTTGTTTCAGTATTAATACATTTACATTTGGAGTATGGAACCAGAAGTGTTTGGAATTTTAGATTTTGGAATATTTACATGCATATAGTATCTTGGGAATGGGACTCAAGTCTAAACATAAAATTCATTTATACCTCATTCAAGGGATGATGGAAAGATATAGTGTTTAAATTTAAAAAAGCAACCTTACTGTCATAAAGCCAGGTGGGCTGGGGATTTAGCTCAGTGGCACAGCACCTGCCTGGTAAGTATCAGCTCCTGAGTTCAATTTCTATACACACACAAAAAAACTACAGGTGTGGTGGTTGCATGCCTGCCACCTGTAATCCCAGCACTCAGTGTGGGAGGGGGCTAAGGCAGGAGAATTAAGTTTGAGACCAGCCTGGC